AAGCAGTTATAGTCACTGTAGTGGTAAAATGTCTCAAATGCTTGTCTGTATTTCCTTGAAAGTCAACATGGTCCTTTTCTTTAGTATTTCACTGTATTGTACTTCACCTATGAATATTTGCTACAGTTAGTGGTCTATCAACAATTTTGTTGACTGATAGTTCATTCCAATTTTTCTCATAAGGTAATCTGATAATAGGCTCACACATTGTTAAAATAACGTGAACAGCAATTGACAGTATAGGACAATCAAATAATGAGAGTTTAATTTCTAATTTGTTCTAGCATCACCACTCTCTGGTATATGAGGAAATTGTAAAGAGTTTTAGATGTGAGAAACTACTGAGGACATTTGCTTAAGATGGATTGCTACTCTTGTGAGTTAGTTCAGGTGTAACTTCTGTACTACCAGAAGCACTGAGCCTTTGCCACAGAATCACACTGAATCTGATAAAATGAATCCATGTGGATTTCAACATATTCATTAGCTAGTCCCTTCAGCCAGCTGCTGTAAACATGGCAAAGTAATTACACAAGGTGGAGCTCAAAGTTACAGGTCCAAAGAAAACAGTGCTGGTATTTGCTGTCTAATCCTCAGCACGCAGACATCAAGAGGTTGTATGTGTAAACAGTAATTTTCTCTAAAAGTGAAAATGTGGAAATCAGATTAATTTTTCAACGCTGACAAATGAAAATATAAACTGATATCAAATAGACTTGAAGCAATTGGTTGGTTATAAATTAGGATAGCTAACATAGAGTATTTGCAAAATACTATCCAAATGGTTCTTTTTACATCTTTTTCTGTGATGTGCTTCTGCAGCATGATAAAAAACTGACTATCTCAGGGATTAGTTTACTCTGCAGTATTTATTTCTGTAGTGCATATAGAGACAGCTTATACATAACAGCATGTAGAGACAAACAGGAGTTAGTTTTGGCACACAAGATACTCATGCAAACAAAGATTCCTGGAACAAGAAAGAAAGCTTCCAGTAAAACAGAGATTGAACTCTCAAAAGTTCAAATAATACCCAAACTAAACATTACCAATCTTCAGAGATTACATGTTATTTTCTTTACTTTTTGTTTTTCAAGTGCAGTGGTAGCAGAGTGTTTGGAATCATACTTTTGTCCTCTGGATGTTTGTAATACATTTCCTGATACCACTTTTACTTCAGCAGACACTTAGTTTGGCTTTCTGTGGAGATTTTTAGAAATACTACATCTCCTCTGCATTGAGGCAATTTAGTTTTGCTGTAAGTGCCTCCCTTAGATCTACTGCGAAAAGACAGCCTTCCTAAGGCTGCTTAGGAATCCTAAAATTGGCATAGAAGGTGCTGAATTTGCCTTATGTTTAACTAGGGACTCTCTGTGTACTGATTATTACAGAGATTTATTTTCTCCACAAAAAACACAAAAAAAGTAGGTGTAACACCTACAAAAAGTAGGTGTTAGCATTGTCCTTACTGTACATTCCTTTCCTGCTTGAAATCACTTCGTTTATCCAAGGATGACTAAGTAAATTACTTATCTTCAGGAGATGAAAGAGGAAGAGGAAGCAAACAAGGAGATAAAAATATCACCAAAAATATCAAAACAGGCAAAACATGAAGCCTGAATTACTGCATTTCATTATGTCAGGAAATACAAGAAAGCAGAAAAGAACATGTGTATTTTTACATGCAGAATTTATGCTAAAAGTAATGATTAACCTTTAATTTCTGAAAAAAAACCAAAAACAAACTGATAGTATTATTCATCTAAGGAATTGGGATGTATTAAAAGATGTCAATGAGTTGCAGGGAATGGAATAACTAAGCCATTTGGACTTGGCCTCTTGGGCATCCACTGATGTTCCACTGCACTCTCTCTGCAGTGTAATCAGGTAATTCCCAGACAGGTGGGAATGTACTATCAATGCTGAGTAACATTTCTCTAAAGGCATTATTGGTCAGCTGGAAGTGTAATATTCTTGGGCGAGTAGTCACAGAGGTAATATTTTATTTTTTAATTAGACTCCCACAGAGATGTCTCTTTGAAAATCAGATTTTTCTGCAGTTTGGTGCTCTCTGGCTCCAATAAAGACAAACAGCAGAGCAACAAAACATCCAGACCTGGTAACCTGATTTTGGATTTATCATTCCCTTATATGCAGGGTAAGGGCTTCAAGGTACAGTTTGGTAGAACTGCAAATGAGGTGCAAATAATTTCAAGGAAAGAAATCAATTTGATCAACAAGTTGTTAAAGGAGCTGAATTTCTTCTTCAAAAAAGAAGCAGCTCCCTTGTCGTACTGACTTAATTATTGTTAACTAAATGTGGGAAGCTCTGGCTCACACCCAGTAAGTTCAATGAGAAACATCAAAAATCCACAACAATTTGGATCAGGCACATTATTTCGATGGCTTCAAGGAACAGGAATACATAAAACTGTAATGGGGTAGAACTGATAAAATGAAATCTTGATCTCACTAAATTCAATGGGAATTCTGCTGTTCACTTAGAAGAGGCTGAAATGGTTCATAGTATATGACCTTATTTCAATTCAGCTAAAGTATGATTGGGTGGGCTGGCTATGGAAATCACAACAACAACAACAATAATAATTCAAGACCTGAGTTTTCCTATCATCAAGCTATTAAAAAAATGTTAAGGTTTTGCAAAAAGACCAAGAAATAAACAATTCTAATTCCTCAAAAATTAGAAAAAAACAGCCTGACAGTCCCAAATTTTTGTATTTTAATCCATCCTGTCAGATACAAGGAGTAAAACTGAGCCTTTTGCATTTACAAACACCAAGCAACTTCACAGGCATGAGCACCAGAAAAAATACATTTCTACCAATGATAGGCTCATGCATAATGGTTCAATACAACCTCATCTACGGATATTTAATCTGCCAAGGGCAGTGGTGTAACAGTCCTCTTACAAGGGAACCATATCCCTGGCTCAGTGTAATTTTTGCTTTCCTGGCCCTTATGAGCTTAATTCCTGAAGTCAAGGTTATGTGTTTATGTGTTTCTGGGATATATCCACAAAAGGGGACTAGAGAGAAGAAAATGCATACAAGTAATTAGTAGTAATAAAAATAAAGAATTAAAAATCCATCTCCATTTTGCTTTTAAAATTACATGTAACTTATGTGAATATTGATATTAAAATAGCTTATTTTTTCATGCTTCAGTCCTTTTACAATATCCTTTATTATTTCATATTAAAACTAGAAAAGGCTTTAGCTGAGAAGCTTCCTTGTCTGAGACCAAGAGAAAGCTTCATTAGCATAATTACTTGCAGTCCTTCTGTTAGCATTTTCAGGGACAAAAATATAATTATCCTTTTACTAAAAAGGAAAACCAAAAAAACAAACAAAAAATAAAAACAAAAAAACAAAGCCCCCAGAAATCCCAGAACCAAAAAAAAAACCCAGAAGTGAAAGTGTGAACATAGTGAAATAATGGAAGATCTGGATTACAACTCCAGTGAAAAATGTGGGATGAACTCGATAGGAATATAAATATCAGTTCTGACTGAAGCATGAAACTTAGGCAAACAACAGGGAAAAACCCCCACCCTTTATAGAACATTTTGATATGTGTGAAAACTACAAATGCTAGAACTGTGAAAAGGAAACTGGGAATTTGATCCATATGTTCTGGAAATGCCACTGCCCACAGCTAAATTATATTTGGAGAACAGAACAGAGAACAGAAGAACTGCTAGCACTGTTATAAACATAGGGTCTCCCTGGTGGTGCAAAGGTCTTCCCATGGCAGATATTAATGAAGGACTCTAACCATCTGGATACCATACACGAAGAAATAATTATTAGTATGTTCTAGATTAATTACTGAGGAATACAGTATGACTTGTTAATTATTTATCTGCTTCTCTGAGGAAAAATCATCCTGCTAGCTCCAAGGGGAAAAAGCACTATTTGGGGTGGTTCACACATTGGGGGTTTTTTTTGTTGTTTTTTTTTTTTAATAGGTGAATGTAATTTAAAAGCCTGAACTGATCTAAGTAATTCTACTGTCTCAAAGGAGATCACATTTAAGCTTTGGAAACTCTTTGTTCTGGTATATATTTACACAGTGAAACATTTTTGTAATCTGATATTTCAACAATTTTGAAATAGCAGGATGACCTGTGGAGAGATTCTGTTAGAGCTTCTCAAAACCAAAAGAGCATCATGCTGATTCCAAGAAAAATAATTACCAGTTAACTTGGGCTGTCATTTACTTCTTCTCAGGAATGTGTGACTGAAAGGGGTGAACTCCACTTGGTCTGCTATTACAGACCCAGCCAAGCCCCGTACTTCTACTCTGTACTTTTAGTGATCAGAATCTTACCAATTGCCAGCTTCCACTTCCTACGTGAAGGCTGACCCTGGATGCTCTTTCCTCTGATAATTCAGTAGTCTGCAGTTCTCACATTCATTTTATTCTAGACAGTCAGTACCCATTTGTACCAACAGAAACCTCCCAATATGCAACATGTGCTCTCAATAAGTGGTTCACATCAGTAACTTTCACTGCAGAAAGGGCCAGAGACCAACATAGAGATTGATTTAAAGAAAGATGTATGTGCAGTTTTCTTGGCCACAGCAGCAAACCCACCCTGAAAAAGTTTAAACATATCTATAAAAAATGTTGAATGGTGGCAGCGCTATACCATCTGTTTTGTTCTCGTTTAGAAAGGAGTTGCATCAATCCACTATGTTCTATATGCCGCCTCTCCTTCACAATAGCCATTAAGCAGAACCTAGCAACAGTTGTGCCTATCATATTATAATAATCAAAAATATGTTTATTTTATTACAAATGACATTTTAAAATTGTAACAATATAGCACTTCTGGTTTGATACTAATTTTTACTTTTCTTTAAAAAAATGTCTTTGCTAAGCAACTTATGAATTCTGAAAATAGTTCTCTGCACGTATAATCATCAAGCTTGAACAGTTTTTATTTTTCATGTCTTTATTCATTTTTTTTTACGTAGTATTTGTGGAATTCAGCATCTGGAACGAGCAGGAAACAGGTTGACTCTCTTTGACTCCCTTTATTTCTGCATAGTGACATTTTCCACTGTGGGCTTTGGGGATGTTACACCCAAGATATGGCCTTCAAAGCTGCTTGTTGTCATTATGATCTGTGTTGCTCTTGTGGTGTTGCCCATACAGGTAAATGTGGATTTTTTTTCTCTTTAGAATTGTTTTTGAAACAAAGGAACAATAATTGAAATAATTTATTGTTACTATTATTATTGCACAGAAAATGTCAGAAAAAAGAACCGTCTGTCTCTCCTATTGTGGTTTACTTTTCCTTTTTCCTGTATATTCTCCTATACTGTAGATTTATAAAAAACAGAGCACTGATAGTAGTTTTCAAGTGCTGATAAAAGTTTCCTGTGCCAGTCATGTACCACAGAGGCCTTCCGTTATCTCGAGATACAGGTTTGTTATTAATGGAGCAATTACAAAAAACCCCCACAACAGTAGCCAGCACTTTCTTTATGAGTACAGCTTTTCCTCTGCTCTCCGTGTTTCTAATCTTGGTTCTCTCCACTTCCTCTCTTACAGCTCAGTGCTAACTTGAAAAAATTTCATTAAATCTGCAACTCAAGCAAATTGGGCTCACAGCTGTGTATGGAACACATGCACACAGAGCCAGCAGCACAGTTTGGAAATTTTCATGCCTGCCTAAGTTTAGGACTTCTAACAGTTTCAACAGGGAAGGAACAATTTATGAAAATCCAAGTATTTCAAGGAGTCAGTCAGCTTTATTAAATTTGTCCCAAGTGTTTTCCAGCTCATTAGGTGAGGCTGGATGAGAAAAACCCCAAGGTTGCATGGGAAACCCTGCCAAGATGTTCACTGTTCCTCACGTGGTGATTACCCAGCCCTTGTGCCAGAAAAAGAGGATGTGGGGAGACACTCTGCATTTTTATCAGAGCTTACAGTAGACCTGCTAGACCATGAAGCTCCAAAGTTTCTCACACAGCCATAGTTTCCAGACTCTGCTTCTTTGGCAGAGAACTAAAGTTCAGTGTGGGCAGGCAACACACAAGCCCTGGGAGGGTGGAAGCTTAAGCTTTTAGCATTCATTTTCTTTAAGTTATTTAACACTCTAATTAAATATTGAATATATGTATTCATAGCAGTATGCACTAAAACAATTATATTCTCACTCAGTGAAAAATCAGTAAAAATTCTATTGATTTCTAGTAAAATTCTACTGAAAACTAAAATGTGCTGTGTTTAAGAAATTTGGAATTTCCTAGGAGATAGAAATTTCATCTTTAAGGTAGTTCTGATACATACTTCAGGCCCACAAGTTCCACTGGAGCAGGAAATAACCTAGAATCTACTGGAATTTCACATAAATTTACCTATTATTAGCTGCTTTATTTTATACCTTTGTAGTGATAATGGGGCTTCATATAGTTTTCCATACACATAATGGAGTGGGAGGCAGTCTCTCCTGAGCTTTTGCCCTGCAGTGAAATGAAATCAGTTGCTACTCATGATCCAGCTTCTCCATCAGTGGAATGTGGACGAGAAAAAGATGCTGTCAGACAGCTATACAGTTAAATTGAGCTCAGTATTAAACGTGTTACAAGAAGCTTTGAACTGGTATTTCTATGTTTTTTTACAGACTGTTACAGTATCCTCATAGGTCTGGAGGATTCAGAGTAGTAATATTTGTTGTTAACCTGCATATATTGTTCAGCTGACAAAGGCAAACTTGCTGTATTAGCAGCTGCTGTGTATTTCAGTTGTATCTAAAATTATAAGGCAGATAAGAGAGTTTACAGAACATCACCCTCAGAACATTATAAAATCTGTGGGAAGAGTTACTGCCCAAACTAAGAAAAAATGGTGCCTCTCTCCCAGTATATTCACAGTATGTGTGTGAAAACTTAACATTTCATACGAGGAAAGCAATTATGTCACAGTACAAGAAAAAGAGAGCTTGGGCATAAAATTCTTAAAGGAATAAGGTACCAGCCTTCATTCTTTTCTAAACTTCTGTGATTTAGTATATTCTCGTGGTATTTTAATGTATTTTCACTGCTGTTTGTGTGTGTTAGATTATGGCACTATTGCTGTGGTTTGTGATCACCTAATTAGACAATGCTTTACAAAGAAAAAGATATTGTGGGCTAAAGGCAGCTTTTCCTAGAGGCATGAGATGAATGATAGAGCATTGCCAAGTCATTATAGAGCTGTAGCGCTCACTACTGGTCTCTGTTTCACTGACAGTCAGCATCTCTTGCAGTTTGAACAGCTGGCATATTTGTGGATGGAGAGGCAAAAGTCTGGAGGAAATTACAGTCGATACAGAGCTCAGACAGAAAAACATGTTGTGCTGTGTGTGAGCTCTCTGAAGATTGACTTACTCATGGATTTCTTAAACGAATTCTATGCCCACCCCAGACTGCAGGTACTGAGAATGGGGAAAAAAGGAAAAAGAAACACAAAACACTGTTTGTTTGTTGTTTTGTTTTGTTTTTTTCATTTTTGTTTTTTTTTAAAGAAAAGTTTCTGAAATGGTTTTTCATTCATAAACCTGATTTTGGGAATAGATAGGTGAACTAGGGGTTTGTATCTGCAATGAGAAGCTGAAATACAGAGTTTGGAGGCATTTTAAACTGAGATATTAAGATGAATTGACTAAATAGGTAGAATTAATGTCTTGTTGAATTATGCTAGTCTTTTTAGAAACAGATTTTAGAACAATTTAGAACCATGCAAATTCCTTAGATTCTACCCTAAAACAGAAAATAAATGAAAGCTTTATTTTTATATATTTCCAATTTATTTTTCCCATTGTTTTGTGACTGGATACAAAAATCCTCACAAGTAAAAACATCCATTGGTTTTCACATTTTGCTTTGTTTTTTGCCAGTGTTAGGAATCACAGAATGGATCAGGTTGGAAGAGGATCATTTGGTCCAACCTCCCTGAAGAAGCAGGGTCATCCTAGAGCAAATTGCACAGGATTGCAAAGATTAGATCCTCTTAGTATCGTGGAAATTAAGAAATAAATACATGTACTTTAAAGGACAAAGACCTTGACAGAATATACATATTTTGTTAGTGTACACATATTCCCTAGGTAATGCAAACTTGTCATATGCCTTATTAGGAACATCTAGAAGCTTATTTCCATGAGAATATCAATTTGGATATATTATCATTGCCTTTGCTATAGACTCTCCCTTTTAGTAAACCTTCTCTATGTCTTTTACTAAGTTACCTGTGGTATCATGCTTCATTAACTACTGCAAGAATTACAAAAATACAATCCTTAAAAGGCTGAGCAGCAATTTGCCAAATCCCAAATCCCAAATATTCCCCAAAACAATTAGCTAGTAAGAGGCATAAGCAATTGCACAAAGAAATCCAGTTCTTTATAGATACAAAACCAAATTGAAGCACAACATTTAGTTAACTAAGTTGAAGAATGAGTCAGGCTCTGTGATACACTAGAGACAAAGAAGAGAAGCCCTAACATTACACATTCTATGCGCTGAGAAGCTGAAGGATAACCTGGTGCACTGCCTCTAATGTGATTTTGCTTTCTGCAAAAATCTCTGTGTTGCAGAAAGGAAGATCTCTATGACCAGCCTGGCCTAAGCTTTCACTCTCCTCTTCCATATTCCATTTATCCCAGCTTTTCACTGGTGTACTTACGGATCCTTCAAAACATCCTTACTTCTCCTTTTCCAAGTAGCACAGGAAGCAGTTTGAATTGGCCCATGAATGTGAAGGAAAAAAAATTGAGGAAATAAACTCTGTCTATCAGAGTCTAATCTGAGACATTTTTGACATCCCAAGTCATTGTCAACTCATTCTCCAGAAACAATAACCATGATTATTTCCCCTTTTTTTCTATTTTGACAGGACTATTATGTGGTTATTTTGTGTCCTACGGAGATGGATGCTCAGGTCCGAAGGGTGTTACAAATCCCAATGTGGTCCCAAAGAGTTATCTACCTGCAAGGCTCAGCACTAAAAGATCAAGACCTGTTGAGAGCTAAGTAGGCAAATATTGACCGTTCTTTTTTATTTTTTTATTCACTCATACTGTTTGATCAATAAGTTTAACAAGCAACAAAAGCTGTGCTTGAAGGAAACTCATGTTAATTTGGAAGGTGAAGCAAAGCTCTTTGATAGAATTTGTTTTTCTTAATATCTGAAATTTTGAACTCATCGTAGAGTTTTGTTTTCTTAAGTTCAGCCTGGTAACATTAAGCAACTATTTTGCTGTACATATGTGAACTCCTCAGGGCCCTCCTCTTACCACATACTTCTACCACTTCTAGGAGATGCTCCCTGCTAATTATGAATGAATGACATTTATCAAAACACATCAGTCAAGCACAGTTCCTCACACACTCCTCCACCCAATCAGTTGAGCTGCAAAAGATTTCACAGTGGAATTTATGTAGAAGGATGATCTCTCTAAAGTCTACAAAGAGAGGGAAAGGATTCTTAGCAAATAAATTATTTAACTCATCTGCATTGCTCTGTGTTGTAGATAACTAAAATGAAGCCGATAACTGTCTGGCTATTTGTGTCATTCTTTATCTGAGGGGAGTTATTTCCAAGAATCTCATTTGTGAGAAGCTTCATGAGCAGTGTTATCTTCTCAGGCTTCTGCCATGGAAAAAACAACTAGTTCTATCGCTGTTTGAAAAGGCAAGAAAGCTTTTTTAAGGATTAGAAATTTCTTATGGAGAGATCCTTTTTCTTTTTTTTTTTTTCCTTTTTGCATTCTTGCTGATTTCAAGAAGGAATTCATGTGTGGATTTAGCTGACATTTGTTCTGCACATCATAAGAATTAAAACTAGGCTGTTCCCTAAATATAATCTTGAATTTTACTTATAATAACCTGGAGGAAGTCAGCTGTGGAACTGTGGTTTTTCCTGCAGAACATGTAATTGAATATACCTGTCACGGAATAATTTTCAGCCTCTCCTGAGGGAAGAAGCATAGTGGGAATTTAATAGAATATTTGATACAAAATATAACCCAATATTCAATACGTTTGGTGTATTTCTTTTTAATGAGAACACAATGTACTGAGGAGATAATAAGGCACATTATAAAATTATTCTAATAAATAAAGTAATGGTTACCAACAAAAACAAAATAACCAAGAAAGGTCTCATTATCAAAATTTATCCATGTATTATATGTGAAACTAATGTCAAAATTACATGATAGAGATCACACCAAAAAGTAAAAGAATACCAAATTAGGATGACTGCATCAGTAGTGAATAGCCAATTAACAAAAGATTGCATTTTTGCAAAAAAATCTCATCTAATTTAACTGAATTTTCTTTCCTATAACTTTGGTAAAGACCCTATCTTCCCTGTACTGCTCCCATGCTTAGTTGAAATTACTCAGCGAGCTCCCATGATTTCTTCCTAATCACACACCATGAACTGGAAATTGTTCATTTAATGTATATATACACAGAAAAGACTGTTATTTTTCCTAAACACATTATTCTTGTGCATCTACCTAACTTTCTGCTCTCACTAGGCAAAACAAGTCTATTATCTGCCCCCTCTTGTTCATTCTTACCAGTAATAACTTGTGCATATTGCAGTCTTACACACCAGGCAGACTGGTGCTATTTATTCACCTTCTATACTCATGGCAGATAAATACTTTACAAATTAAGTTTGAGGGTACTCTGCTTTTACTACTTTGGCACAGCTTTTACCAGGGTAAGAAATGAGAACAGACTCAACTTTGTGTTACATTTCTCTGTTCAAGACTCTGACGGAGAGACACAAGTCCAGTGAGTACCTGCTTTGGGTGTGACAGGTTTGTTTCCTCTCTTCCAGGATGGACAATGCTGAAGCCTGTTTCATCCTGAGCAGCCGCTGTGAGGTGGACAGGACAGCAGCTGTAAGTTGGGGAGGGAGAAATAAGAGGAATTACAGGTTTTACTGCCTTTACTCCCCCTCAATTATTTTTTATGCAACAAGGGCAGAAAGCATAAAAATACTCTCATAGTACCTTGCAGATACATTGATAATAGGTCGTTAATCTCTTCCAAGAATGGCATTCTGTCAATATTCAAAGTACCTGAACTGCTCTAGATATTCAATTTAATCACTTATATTTATTAAATCAGAAAAGAGACAGGTGTCAACTGATTGGTATATTCAGAACTAATGAAGTAAAGCCCAAATTCAACTTTATAAGTAAGTTTGTGACTAATACAAGTAACCAATATATATGAGACTATTTGACCATTTTTCATATTGGCCAATTTTAAAAATTAAAAATTGCAAGGTTCTTTAAATAAGTTTCTATGGGTTTGCCCATGCTGGTAATTATTTGCAGTAAGGTAAGTTACTGTCCATGAAGGAACACTGCTAATACAAACCTCTGTGCAGTGCATCTGTGATAAAAGAATAAAACTGTATGAATATACATATATGTATAGAACTCTTCCAGCTAATAAAATTATGTACTGATTACAAATATCCAGACAAAAAGGCCACTGAGGATGGATTTATGAACATAACTTAATAACTTTCACCATGTGCACTACAATAAATTATTGCGGTCTTGCCTCATTCAGTTCAATCTTGAACTCCAAAGGGGTTCAGTATTAATCTGACTATCCCTGAAGATGCTTACAAATTGCCTAACAAGACAGAACCAGTATTTATAAGGAATTATGTTTTAAGCAATCTCAGCTAGAAATACTGTTTTGGTGCCACATTGTAAGAAATAGCAACCACAGAATCACAAGGTTGGAAGAGACCTTCAGGATCATTGAGTCCAACCCATTCCCTAACCTCAGCTAGACTATGGCACTGAGCATCACATCCAGTTTTTTTTAAACACATCCAGGGATGGTGACTCTACCACCTCCCCAGGCAGACCATTCCAGTACTTTATCACCCTTTCTGTAAAAAAGTTTTTCCTAATATCCAACCTAAATTTTCTTTGGTGCAGTTTAAAGCTGTGTCCTCTCATTCTGTCAATTGTTACCTGGAGAAAGAGACCATCCCCCACCTGACTACAGCCACCTTTCAGGGAGTTGTAGAGAGTGATGAGGTCACCTCTGAGTCTCCTTTTCTCCAGCCTAAACAACCCCAGCTCCCTCAGTGCTTCCTCACAGGGTTTGTGTTCCCAGCCCCTCACCAGCCTCGTTGCCCTCTCTGGATGCGCTCAAGCGTCTCAACGTCCTTCCCAAACTGAGGGCCCAGAACTGGACACAGAACTCAGGTGTGGCCTCACCAGTGCCAAGTACAAGGAAAGAATGACCTCCCTGCTCCTGCTGGCCACACTATTCCTGATCCAGGCCAGGATGCCACTGGCCTTCTTGGCCCCCAGGGCACACTGCTGGCTCATGTCCAGCTGCTGTCACCAGCACCCCCAGGTCCCTTTCTGCCTGTCCAGCCACACCATCCCCAGCCTGTAGCGCTGCAGGGGTTGTTGTGGCCAAAATGCAGGGCTCAGCACTTGGACTTATTAAACTTCATCTTATTGGACTCTGCCCATGCATCCAACCATTCCAGGTCTCTCTGCAGAGCCCTCCTAACCTCCAGCAGATCAACACATGCTCCCAGCTTAGTGTCCTCTGCAAATTTACTAATGAAGGACTCAATACCTTCATCCATGTCATCAATAAAAATATTGAACAGGATCACTTGTGACTGGCTGCCAGCTGGATGTAGCCCCACTCAACACCACTCTCTGGGCCCGGCCATCCAGCCAGTTCTTAACCCAGCAAAGTGTGCTCCTGTCCAAGCCATGGGCTGCAGCTTTTCCAGGAGTTTACTGGGGGAGACAGTGTCAGAGGCCTTGCTGAAGTCCAAGTAGACAACATCACCAGCCTTTTGAGAATCCACCAGGCAGGTCACCTGGTAATAACAGGAGATCAGGTTGGTCAAACATGACCTACCCCTCTTAATCCCATGCTGGCTGGGGCTGATACCCTGGCCATCCTGTTCATCCTGCATGATGACACTCAGTATAAACTGCTGGATACTGAGGTCAGGCTAACTGCCCTATAATTTCCAGGATCCTCCTTCCCACCCTTTTTGTGAATGGGTGTCACATTGGCCAGCTTCCAGTCATCTGGAACCTCACCAGTGAGCCAGGACTGCTGGTAAATGATGGAGGGCAGCTTCACAAGCTCATCTGCCAGCTCCCTCATCACCCTGGGATGGATCCCATCTGCTCCCATAGATTTATAAACATCCAAGTCGCTCAGCAGTTCTCTGACTGCCTCCTCTTGGATAATGGGGCGACCATTCTGCTCCCTGCCACCATCTACCAACCCAGGAGGACAGTTGTCCTGAAGGCAAGCTGCTTTCCTACTAAAGACTGATGCAAAGAAGGCATTAAGCACTTCTGCTTTCTCCTCTTCTGCAGTTACTAAGTTCCCTTCTGCATCCAGTACATAACAAAGGTTGGTCTTACCCTTCCTTTTACCATTAACATATTTGTAAAAACGTTTTTTATTATCCTTTACAAAAGTTGCCAAATTAAGTTTGAACTGAGCTTTGGCCTTCCTAAATTTTTTCCTATATGCCCTAGCAACTCCCTTAAATACTTCTTGAGAGACCTGACCCTCCTTCCAAAGGTGAGACATCCTCTTTTTATTCCTAAGTTCCTTTAAAACCTCATTGCCTATCCAGGCTGGATGTTTGCCTCATTGACTCATCTTTTGGCACCCAGGAACAGTCTGTTCCTGTACCTTCAAGATCTCTGTTTTGAAGCATGGCCACCTTTCCTGGACTCCTTTGTTTTCAAGGGCTGCTTCCCAAGGAACTCTCTGAAAAAGCTTCCTAAATAGGCCAAAGTCTGCCCTCTGGAAGTCTAATGTTAAAGTCTTATTGATGTTCCTCCTGATTTCACCAAATATCAAGAACTCTATAATTTCATGATCACTGTGCCCCAAGCGGCCTCCAACCACCACATCTCCCACCAGCCTATCTCTATTTGCAAACAACAGATCTAACATAACCCCTCCCCTGGTGGGCTCACTCACCAGCTATAACAAAAAGTTGTCCTTCACACAGTCTAGAAACTTCCTGGACTGCCTCTTTTCTATTGTATTAAGTTCCCAGCAGATGTCTGGCAGGTTGAAGTCACCTACAAGAACAAGGGCTGGTGATCCTGAGACATTCTCCAGCTGTTTATAGAATAAGTTGTCCATTACCTCTTCCTGGCTGGGTAGACAATAACAAACTCCCTAGTGGGATGTCAGCCTTGTTGGTCTTCCCCTTAATTCTTACCCATAGATATTCAACTTCATTGTCATTAGTTTCAATACCCATGGCATCAAAAATCTCCCTAATACAAAGAGCCACCCCTCCATCTCTTCTCTTTCTCCTGTCTCTTCTGAAGACCTTCTAGCCATCCATTGCAGCACTCCAGTTATGAGTTGTCTCCCATGTTTCTGTGAAGGCAACTACATCATAGCTTTTCTGCTTTACCATGGCTTCCAGCTCATCTTGCTTGTTACTTATGCTGTGTGCATTAGTGTACATGCACTTCAGAATTAATTTTCTGAATGTTGAAAACAGATACAGTAAAAAATTAGGAATGAAATCTTTGTACTATATCTGTAGCATTACTTAATATATTCTCTATCACTTATTACTTTGTCTGCCATCAGAACTTAGTTAAAAGATGTTAGCTAAAGATCCTGTTCTGGACCCATCCCTTTCAGAAAGTCACTGAGCTCCCTGAGAAATATACCTGTGCTCCTACTATAGCATTTAAACTTACTAAGCTAAGGATTTTGAATTTGATTCATCAGCAATGTCCTGAAAACACAGCAGTGAAATCCACTGAACTGGCATTAAGAGTAGTCAAGCAAGGCAGACCTACTGCTTAGAAGTGTCAAGAGGGTCTGGAGTATTCAAAGGTAAGTACAAGCAAGAGTTCTTGCAAATACCTGGAAAAATACCTGTAACTTCTAGGAGACTGAAAAAATCCAAAATAGCCCAAGTGTCTTATCTAAATCAGCCATGAATTCAGAATAAATCAGCTACAACATCTCATTTCACAAAATGTACTTGAGAGTTGCACAGTGGTTACAAATGAGAAATCCCATAAAATCAGAGCATGTGATTTACACTGCACTGGGAAGGTTTATGTAGCATTAAGGACAGCAACACCACCAGTCAGCTGTTCATCTCTGCTCATAAGTGCTTCAGAATTTATGCAAAGAAAATATAACTTTCAGCTCTGCTGGACTGTGCTGCAGGGCAGGCAGTGGACTCTGCATGGAGCTCCCAGAGTTCCTATTCATTGTAGCCAGAACGGTGCAGGTTTGGTTCTGGAACCATGGCCTACTGCAGTTCTTCCTTTCTGCTCTCAGGAAACATCAAAGGGGTACCTGGCACACTTCAGCTGCCACTACAGACTTTTATCAAATCTCATTTCTTTTTGTACCTGGAGCACACAAACAGGCACATCTCACCAATGACGCTCTCCTGGTACCTTCCCTTGGGCCACAATATCTCAGGGTCAGTGGGATCTGAAGTTTTTAAACAAGGTGTCATCTCTCTGCCTTGTTTTCTCTCTTGCTGTCAGCTTGCCTTTTCACAGGGAATGCACTTATTTATACTGCAAGTAGAAAATTCTTAATTTTTTAAAAAGCTATTTTATATTACTGCCCCCTAGAGATGTGAAATGAAATATATTGAATTTCCTACACTGCTCCAGCCTCATGTTAATATACATAAGGTTCGTTTGTCACTGGGCTGAAGGAAGTTCAGCTGTCATCTCAGTATCAATCTTTATAAGTACCACTGATTTTCCACCCTGCTGTTGATAAGATGACAAACTGCTAAAAGAGCCTTGGATCCTCTCCTATGAGTGACAGCTGTCAAAATAAAAGGAAGAGATTCCTGACCAGAACAGGTGTTGTTACTCGAGTGATTTTTTAAAGCCCATGAGTGGTTTTACCCCCCCAGCTACAATTCTCAAGCAGAGGGTTTACTCATTTGCCATGGGTACCCTTGGCTGTTCATTGCTTGCTATTTTGTTAGTTAGTAACTTCTAGTGACAACAATTCGGCTATTGCTGACAGCTTTCTTCTGAGGCTTTCTGAAAATTCAGAGATGGTCCAATTCAAGCTTGCACCTTTTTTTTCCCCCTTTCATTAATCAAATTGTGTGACTCTGCTGTACTGGTAATCTAAATTACACTGCCTTAATGGCGTCACAATATGGTTGCAAACATAGCAGGCTATAACTAATTTATCAAGTTATGTACAGCAATAAAGAGATTCAGTTAACAGAACTACTTTAAAATACATATTAAATGCATTTCCTTGAGTTCTTATGATTTAAATACACTGTAAAACTTCCAGCTTTTCATACATGTACTTAAATATCACCTCTATATTAATCACCATTTGTATCTGTGGTAATTTTTTGATCACTGGCTGTAGTTCATTGTGTGGAGATCAGATGGAAGAGAATATATTTTTTCTCTCACCTTCCAAAGAAATATTTAATAATGGGAACAGAAGCATAATTTTGTTTCAGTTACCTCTGTTTGTTGTGTGTAAATATATACCATATATTGGGAGAAGGGTGAACGTTTTTTAAAGTGATTACAATCTAGCATAGAAATTGCCACATTTTTAAAACAGAGAGCCACAATTCTGTAGGAAGACACTGAATCTAAGAAATCAATTAAGGCTACATGTGTTTTTCTTTCTCTGCCCTGGAGTGCTTCTTCAGAGTGGAAGTCAGGAAAATAACTGAGCAAAAAACATAGGAACCAAATAACCAACTTTTGTACACAAACACATGGATATACCAAGTGGGAAGAGAAAAAAAGAAACAATAATGCAAATTTATTAGATTAATTTAGATTAGACTAATGCATACCACTAAGTTGATCTTATGATCTTTAGGGCATTTCAGTACCCATTTTATATATATGTATCTTTTACATATTTGTGGACTGCTGGTTCAAAGATGAACTAGAAAATGGAAAGCAAGCCATATTTTGCAGTGTTAAAACTGCCAATGTGCCAAATAATCAAGACAATTTTAAAGAGTCCTTTTTATAATATTAAAAAATACCTCATGTTGAGATTCATACTTTTACTTTTACAGCTCTCACATGAGTCTAGGTTTGTTCAAGTTTTCAACAAAATAGTGTAATTTGAATCATTTTATAATGAGATCTTCATTCTTTAACAATCATTGCACATTCTGACAAAACCAAGCTTTTTAGACAAAATAATAATTTAAAAAATCCAAGAAAATATCTAACATAGAGATAACTATATTTCTAGGCATGTAACATGTCTGTGTGATGGCCATCTACCACATTACCAGTAATTTGCTGCTTCTGAGCTGTGTTGGCATGTCATTACCTTAAGACAAAAGAGCAAAAAACCCAGTACCACACACACACAAAAAATCCTGAGGAGGGTAATTTGCTATATGGTATAGAAAAGTAAAAAAAATGTGGCTGCATACAAGGAAAACCAGGTTACACCCCAGCTCTTAAATCTCCTGACTGGGCCCAGCAATCCTACATCTATAAAACTACTAATAAGGAAAATCTTCTTCTAACTCCGTTCTAGTTTTTCTCGTAGAAAAAATACTTGCTAACATCTCAATTGACAATAAAATATTATGGTTTGAAAATGTCAATTACACTCTGTTCCAGGCAGAGATTTTCCCTTGTGTTCATGAGTCTGAAACCTTTTCTTACTGCTGATGCTGCAAACATAATGAATCATTCTTTATATTTTATCTTTAAATACCACAAATTTCATGACTAGACAAGGCATTTCAATCCAGGCATGGGTTCCTAGATAGAGCTCTGTAATGTTTCTTTTTCTTTTGAAATAAATAAAAACCAATGGACGACACACTGGAATTAGTCTTACTTCACAAAATTCAAAATATGAATGTATTATCACATAGATGAATTTTATGGATAGTAGTAGTCACCCTGCAGTTAACTCATTCTTGTCATGTGGTAACATGAACAAAAACTAACAGCCTGAAAATCTTTTGGAATCTGTGGTTAATCGCTGGCTAAAACCTGACATCAGTTGTGAAAATGTTTTAGTTCCACAGAGATTCAGATCTTCTTTTAATTAAACTGATATTTTTAGAATTTCCCACAATCTTAAACTCTCAGTTCCTGAAGTCATCATTTAATGGCATTTTAATTATGAGTCTCTTTGGAAGGACATCTATGCTATATAATTCTTGATTAATTGCACATGACTAATTGCTGCCATCTAAGTTTTCACACAATCATTCCACATCCAAATGCGACCCCTTTCCAAATGACACAATCATTAGCATTTGCAGAAAGATAGGAGAGGTTCAAATTACCTTATTAGTGGAACATTTCTGGAAATTAATAATTAATAGTAATTATATAACTTGCACATAAACATCCATACCAGCTGGTACCACATGGTCTTAAAAAGAATTTTCTTCAATGGAGCAAGTCTGATAATAAATTATTTTTCTAATCTGACATAGTTATTTGGATTTCATTGGCATCCCCTCATATCTTTCTTCTAGGATCACCAAACCATTTTAAGAGCATGGGCAGTTAAAGACTTTGCTCCAAATTGTCCTTTATATGTCCAGATACTGAAGCCTGAGAATAAATTCCACATCAAGTTTGCAGGTAAGTGGAAGACTGCAGTCATTTGAAGCACTCATTAGCGTTTGACAGTTTGTTTCACGAACACAAGCAAAGTGAGAACTACTTCATATTTACTACATAGAAGCTGATTAAATGTGAAGTTTTGTAAAATAATACACATCCTAGCAATGGTAAAGCAATTATAAAGCAACTTACAAGAACTTTTAAAAATTAATAGTCTTATGCTACATAATATAGAGAGTATAATTATTTGATGTATAACTATTCCTTAATTACAGATCCAGGTAGGTCTCCAGCTTACTGTATCCATGTCTGTAAGTAATTTCTGTTTACTTAAACGTAGTTACTAAGGGGTGCATAAGAACATCTATTCAGATTTAATCCAACAAATGATTGAGGGAAAAATCTTACCATTGGACTGGTTTTTACCAAGTGGTATAGAAAACATTGTAATTACTTGAAAATATTTTGGAAAGAGACATATAATTTAATTCTATATCCAGTAAAATGCTTGGTTTAGAAACCATGGCATAAAATGCAAAATGATGTTAAGAAATCTGAAAAAAATCCACTCCTATAAGAAGAGATTACCATCTTTTATTTGTCAAACTATTTTTCTGCATTATATGTTTCTCTTTCTTTCTGTTTATATCCAAACAGTCATATATATAAGTACAGAGACATATGCTCGTGTGCAAAAACACACAATTACTTTTGGAGAAATAGGTCTGAAGTAGAAGAGAAGCTTACCTTTTCAGCTGCAATTTTGAAAATTAAATTTTCTTGAATATATTCTGAGGAAGAAAAGATTGCCGATTCATGCAAAAATAAAAACAACTCTATGGAAACATATTAGTCTCTTCCATCATCCCGGAATGTGATGAAAAAATTCTAGTAGAACAGCTCCAGTGCAACAGTTAAAGCTGTAATTTTAAAAGCTACAGAATTTACCACTGGGCTAGAAAGAAGAAAAAACCCCATCAGTAGCAGTTCTGAAGTTATAAAAGTATAATCTCAAGATATGATGGCACAGAGGGGAATAAGGCTCATGCTGTGATGAGACTGATGGTACTTTTTCATCTCCCCCTTAAAACCACCCAGCACAAACATAATCCTTGCTCCCTTAGTCATGGCCTCTATTCTTCATCAGTAACTGTGTTAATTTGTTGTTCCAAATAGTGCTTTTAAGGGAGTTTCATTATTCCTAATGGCTTGTCTCTGTAGAAGTTTATATATAACTAGACTTGTAAAACAGAGGCAATTTTTCAAGTCTGTTTGAAGTGTTACAGAATTTAGACCATATTTTTTAAAAAACCCCCAAAAACAACAAAAAACCCAGAAAAACTCTTTTGTTAAGATTTCCTTCAAGTGAACTTCAGCATCACCACTGGATGCTCACCTACTGTAAACGGTTAGGCACTGCTGGAGCCATGAGAATAATATTTATTGGCATACATTTTCTAGGAGGATCCCCCTTTGGCATTAATGTCATCCAACAGTTCATTATCCTGAAACATGTACCCAGTGGAGGCTGCAGACTACAGACCTGTCCAGAGTGTTTACAAGTGAAATTTGTCACAACCATCTGGAACATTTTTCTAAGTGCTTATCCTATTATGATTCAGGGCTGCTTTATTACTGTCTTCATGTAAAATCTTCTTTTAAATCTGATATTCCTTGAGAAAATGACTTTTCTTCTAGAGGTTTCCCAAAACAATACTGGGCATTTTTATGAACATGAAATATTCAGTAATAGGATTTCTTCTTAGGTTTTTTTTTTTTTTTTTACGCACAGGTTTAGAGACTTAAGCTGTCAAAAATGAAGTTTTTGAATTTAGAAGAAATAAAACCAAATAGTCCTCCTAACTAAAGTTTAACTTTTAACTACATTGAAAACGTATAAAGCACTAAAAGGCCAGTTTCTCAGCAGCATGTATTAGGTTGACCAGTCTTCCTAGACTGCATGAGGCAGTCCTGAAATTCAGACACTGACTGCCTGGTCCTGTAGGAGAGAAAAGCCTGGTTTTCTGCCTGGAGGTTTTCTGCCTCAGGCAGAAACAGTATACAGGAAAAGTAAATGTTATAATGTATTCCCATCCAGTAAACAAGACTTAAACATCCTTCCTGTCTTTAATGAGAGAATAAGAACTTATTTTTGTCCTCAAAGCAAGAGAATAGAGGCACCTTGGCCAGGTTCATATGACCTGTAAGAAAGTCAGATTTCCTGACTTCCCGCCTAATGCCATACACACATCCTTGCATTCTGTGCCTTCTGATATTTTTTACAGTGGATTTTAACTATTTTGTTTAAAATATTAACCTACTTACATTGCTACAGTGGCATAAATGTTTGTCCCAGCAAAGCCCTTTGTGAGTTTAAGCTGTGAACACTTCAAACACACAGCTGCTCTTAACATGATAGTGATCAGATGGGCAACTGTCTTATCTCTTAAGCTGAAATGTTTTGATTTCTCCCTAGTAATTTCCAATATAAAAATGCCTTGACATCCAAGTTTTTCTTTCAATAATGCTGGCAGTTACATTCTTAATCTTCCCACTTTTCTTTCAAACACACAGGGCTACAAAAGGCCATGTACCCTTGGTGCAAGCTCCTGGCCTTGCATTTCAGCACAAATGGGAAATCAAGTGAAGATTTTCCACAGCAGAGCAATATATTTATACAATTCAGAGACTAGTAAATTCAGTATTTTCTGAGCTGAACTTAAAACTTTTATAATTTGTGTGTCTGTGTGTGTCTGTGTGTGTGTGTGTATCCTATACTTTGAATACTTGGAAATTATATGTAATTACAATTCCAGGAAATGGGGATACATTTTGTTTATTCAAAATGCACCCATGAATTAGCACAGATTGTTGAAGTCTGGCATAAAAGCTTCAGTAGTTTATTTCATAGTCCAGATTTCACTGAAATGGATACTGAATGTAGCAGATGATTAATCTGTCCAATTACAGATAAAAATAGTCTAGGGGTAATGGACGGATGTTTTTCAGATCTGGTAGTGGTCATGTTAACTTATCAAATTGACAAAAGTAAGGTTTCTCAGAATAATCGTGCCAGGTCTTACCACATGGCTGCTGCTGCAGGCATAAATCAGTATTTTGAGTCTGCTTTATCATCAGTAACATCACAGAAACCATAACTCACCCCACTGCATTACTACATCCTTTTGAGACAGACTTAGCAACAAAACTTCTGTCAAAATATATTTTCAACAGAAACAGCAACTTATGGAAATTCTAAATGTAATATTCCTTTAGTATAAACTCAGTGAAAATACTTACTTTTCTGGGAAGCTGATTTGACATATTTAATATTCACTTCAAGATAAACTGCAGTTTCCTGGTCTGCTTTGCTGTCACACCAGATGAGTAATTTGCTGATTCTGGTACCTGCTGTCAGGGGACATGACTGATGTCCCAGACCTGAAGAGTGGGAGAGCTGTCATCCAGCTTCTTCCCTACTCACTTCAGAAAGAAAGCAGCAGATAAAGTTCTGTGTAATCCTCTACAAGTCCTGAGCATACAGAAAAAATACAGTAATGTTATAGGAAAGCTAAAAGCTGTCAAATAATTGGAGACATGAGCATGGCATTTTTGACCGGGTCTGTGTCTAATACAAGACCTTAACTGCAGAAGGTCAGAGTCTCCAACAGATGCAGAAATAGTCCACAAGTCCAGCTCCAAGGCTTCTAATGTAAAAACACTTTACAACACCACTTGAGTCTCTCAGACATGATTAAGAGGCTGTTGGAAGACAGCAATCTCTGTTGGCTGTGTGCTATATTCTTTGATAACATTTTACCTAAATATCTGCCAAGAAAGTTCTCTCGTAGATGTTAGAGAGTAGAGTGCATCTGGAGGTTTTAATTTGCATATATTTAGGCCAGGATATACAATTGGGTTCAAGAACAAGGTCTGAAATAACAGATGATGAAATCATTACCCTGTGTATTTTTTCTTTCTCATATTTTCAAAATGTTTAGCTATAATATGACAGCCTTCCAAATAAAACAATAAGGGGAAGTTATTTGGCAAAATCCTATAAAAATTAAAAACCGGAGAATTCTCTTTCTTTCAGTGTCAGGAAGTTGGTATTAACTTCCATAAATCTTTACCATCTGACCAGTGGTAATGGACTGCAGATATTCCATTCAAGCCACAGGCTGTGCCTTACCCTCTCAAAATCTCTGGTTTCAAATTCAAGTGGGTTTATTAATGGCATATGGTCAACTTAAAGAACGTATTTCTATTCAAAATATTTTCTGCAGGAAATATTTAACTGCTATAGCTGAAATATATTTACAGGAAGAAAAATCTCATTTTGTCCTACATTTGACACTCTTCATATAATTAAATTCATCCATTCCCTATGACATTTAAATAGGCCCTGATCTTCAGAAAATGAGAGAATTACTCAATTCAGTAGTAAATGATTCTGTTGCTGAAAGGCCTCTAGATAGTTCAAAATAAAAGGAACAGAGAAAGCATACAAAATACGCCTTCACTTTTATTTTCAGGAAGTGTCATGCTTATAGCTATACTATAAATTGTGTCAGGAAAGCAGCTTAGAGAGGCAAGGTGGTTCTAAGGATTTCAGTGACATGCTGGTGAAACCAGAAGCAGATGCGCAATAGTTCAGGTTTAGGTGGGGAGGTTATTTGCCTGCCTTTACTCAGCAATATTCATGTGCCTATGTTTTGATCATCAGTTGTACTATTTGTAATATTCATTCTGATTAGAAGCAAATTCTGCTCCCATTGAAAGAGCCAAACACTAAAATCAGAGGGGAAAAAAACAGACTTAGTATTAAATGCCTTCATGATTTTATAAAACCTCTCTGACTGTGTTTCTACACTGACAAGCACTTACAAGTTTTGTGCTTGTCCCTTTTTATAGCCATTTCAACACTGTCATAGGTATATGGGAATTACATTAAAGAATCATTTCTATTTCCTTTTCATGCCATCAGCAAGCACTGGAGAGCATTTAGCTGAGATCTGGGTTTAAAGTAGTAGCCATCCATGTTAGATAGCATAGACAGGGAAAATCATACACAGCTGATTTCCAAAGTTCAAGCAGAAGAGGAATATCTTGGGCCAACTTTTGATTGATCCATCTTCACCATTTTCCTAGACAAGGACATGATAATTCTGTTCAATTGAAAGTATCTATGTAAAACAATTTGTATTCTTCTTTTCCCTACAGATCATGTTGTGTGTGAAGAGGAATTCAAATATGCTATGCTAGCTCTAAATTGTATATGTCCAGCTACTTCTACATTAATCACTCTGCTGGTTCATACATCCAGGGGACAGTAAGTATATACTACCATAAAAAAACAAACAACTTGGAAAAGTCATAGCTGATATTCTTTGGAAAACAGCTTACCCTGAATTCCCACGCAACTAAAGTTTTAAAAAAGAAAATGGAACCTTCTGCACAATAAAAGCATCAAAACGCTTTACTCAAGGCACTATAGTTTTGAAGAGAACACCCCCTCCCCCCAGTATTCAAAACTTTGTTGCCTGCTGTTGTGCCACTTCCATGATATAAAATAAGATCAAATTGTATTTCTAGTTTAGTAGAATGAAGTGTCTCTATCTATCACAAACTTATATTTACAAGCACTAACAAGTCCTAAGAATACCTATTCTAATACACTAATTAGAAGGTCTGTTTCAATGAACTAAAGAAGCATGTTTTTTGATGATATACGGTATTTGCTCTTCTGTGCCTGTGTGTTAACATACAGGTAAACATACATACATGATTTTTAACATGACCACACTGCTGGAAGGGGTGCAGAATTATGGTGTCTCTGCAGACTGCATAGTCACAGTAGATCTTCTCTGAATTCTCTAAAATAATTTTACCACATCTGGTGTATCTCTTTTATGATGTATTCTTGGAATAATAAAGTATTCTTGATTGAAATGCTGTGAGCACACAGATGCAATAAAGAGTGAATCTCTAAATATATTTGTAGAAATGGAATAGCTGTATATACACTACGTAAGTCTTGTAACATGCTAACTTCTTTTCCAAGTGACCATGAACCCAATATATATATATTTATAAGCAGAGTTTTTTAACCTTCTGTGTGACATTTCTAGTATTCCCTTTTGCTCAGAATGGGGAAAACAGAAATTCTTCCTAGAACTGTTACTACTGAGAACAACAAATGCCAAGATTTTAATGGCACTGTCTGCACTAAAATCTCCTAATAGAAAGACAACAAAACACTGTTTTGATATGTGCTCAGAACCATGGTGAAATACATTCTTTACACATTTTCATCTGCCTACCTTTCATTCTGTGACATACAGAGAATCCAGACCCTTTTCCAGATATTTCATATTACATGCATGTAAAAGAAGAGCAGTCTTCCTAAGAGCTGTCAGGGAAATGTTTTCTGCTTTCCTTAGGAACTTCAGCATTTCATTGTTTAGCAGTCACATGGATCATATACAGATTCCCAACTGTGACGCAAAGTAACTGTCACAGAATTCAAAAGTGCTTAATTTGAACTTTTACACTGATTTTGCAATCAAAATTAATAGATATAACCAGCATAATAAAAGTAAATGTTTTCTAGTCTGGTCATTGTACATACTAGGAACAAAAATAAAGATTTTTTTTGCACAAATAATTGTAGCATTACTTTGAATCCAGAATGATTAAAGTAACGTGAGTTTTTGTAAGAATGTGTGTATTGTACTGTATGTAAGAATGCACAATGTATGTTACTGTAAGAATACTATTCTGTGTTTATACAGAAAGACTGAAAAAGTGAAAATGTCTAGTTTTTATCCACTGTAGTCAGCACTCTTCAGAGCATTTATTCTCAGATTCCAAAATAAGGGCATTTTTCACTGTACTGCAGACATAAAACTTCTTTGAATTTGACCAATTTATAGTTCAGAGGGGTTTTTTTTGCTTTTCTAGATGTTTTCTGTTGTTGAACAAGAGGTAAATTAACTACTAGTTGTTAAAATAGGTGAAATTACCTTTATTTATACATATAAAAGATGAAGTCAGATGAGAACTTGAGTTTGGTTAAGTAAGATTAGGTGAAAGCAGATTATTTAAACTACAGTTAAAAAATGTACATGCATGTATTTATAAACCAAACCAAAGACTAAATTCATTCTACATAATGAAAATAATTTGTTAAATAGACTTCCAATGTTAATAGTGAACTGCTTTCCTTTACATTAGTTCATGTTTAATTATCCTTTTATTATCATGGTTGCTATTACCACCTGCATTACACCTTATGTTTAATTTATGTTTACCTTATGTAGGTTACATTTATGTTTTATGTTATACCTTTATGTACCTTTATGTTTACCTTATGTAGGACTCAAGTGTGAATACCTGTAGAGGAGGTGTAAATAATGCTGTTTTCTTCTCAGCTGTTTATGGAATTCAAAACTTTAGTCTGTGAGACACCAAAATTCTACCTTGAATCTTATCTATAATCTCATTATCAATCTTAATTAAGAATCTTAACATTTATCTTTAACTCTTATCTGTTTATCTAAACTAGTAATACAAATCTATTAGGGTTTATTTGATGATACAAAATACTGGAAGAAAATAACATTTCTGACTTGAAGTTAATGTGATCTCTGCAGTTCAGCCCCATGGGAAGCTTTCGGACAACTCACTGGAAGCAAGCAGACATTAAACAGGTGGCCATTTTATTTTAGGGGTAAAAGTCAGATAAGGGAAAATGTTCTGAAATTACATTGCTAGTTCTGCTGTTCTATACTAGTACACTATTTATAGTGTTGCAACAAAAATGGTTTACTTATTTTCATCTTGAAACAAAATGTTTTCATGATGAGAGTGAAGAAACGTGGTAAATTGAAGAAAAATAGAAATTGTGTTAAGGTACTGAATATATATAAATGAGCATAAAAGAAGCATGTCTCAGTATCTTGAGGTCTTCACTCCAAATGGCAAAATACAGAACACACTAGTCAGTTTCATGACCTATCTGTACATATGCATCAGTTACCTCCAGTAAAAATCATGCAAGGCACAACCTTGTTTCCATGTGAAACTTAATCAAGAAGTATCCAGGAGCTCCAGGACTACAAGTGTTGGGGTTGTTGAGGTTTGGAACATTTCCACTAAACTGTTTGCATAAAGGGCAGCAGCTTGCAAAGAGTAAAGGATGATCTGCTTTGTCATTTATTTTCTTGCACTAGAGAAAAGAAGCTGTATACTTGTAATAGTCTACAAGACGCAGGAACTAAAAATACCAAATAATAGGGGATAAAGATCACTGATAAGCAAAAGCAGAAAAATCTCTCTTACAGATCAAATGACCAAAGACAAATTAATCTTTCCAGTATAAGTTGTTATTAATGATACTCAGACAGGAACCAGCGAGTCTGCCATAAAGCATGTAGAGAGGCTGTCTTTAAGAATATAATGAGAATGCTGCTGGTTTTCCCTGTCACCTTCAAATTGTTATGGGTCTACTTATTATGGTGTGATTTTAAAATAATTGAGCCACCTCTCTCCTGATATTAAAGTACATACTCTTATATGTCCATTACTTAGCAGAAAATGCTCTTTAATACATTAAAATAATCTCTGTACCTATAGTATTACGAAGATTCAATCTCAAATACTTCTTTCAGATTAGCCTATGGGACATTTTCAGTAGACATTTTTAGTTTCCATTGACATGAAATACCATTTTGATTAACAAAAATTTTGCATTAAGTGTTAAATTATTCTCTTTATGTTTCAGGGAGAGTCAGCAATCACCAGAACAATGGCAGAAAATGTATGGCAGGTGCTCTGGTAACGAAGTGTATCACATTAGCCTGGAAGAAAGTATGTTCTTTGCAGAATACGAGGGGAAGAGCTTCACATATGCTTCTTTCAATGCACATAAAAAGTATGTTTATTTTTCTTATCAACCATCAAAAGTTCAAAGAAATAATTACTTGTTTTGCCTGCAACATAGCTCTGCACTAAAGGCACAGTACTGCACATTAATCTGTTCCTGGGTTTAAGTATCTGGCCACTAATAGGGGTATATTTCTGTGAGTTGGAGCTGGTCAGGTAAAAGCTTATGTTCATTCTGTATAGCCCATGTCAGTCTAAGAGAGCAGAATATGAAAGATAAAGGATAAGCTGGACAACCAGAAAAAAAAGGGCACCATTCAGAGGTTTCAAGAACACCAGTCCTTTTCCAAGTCCAAAGCAATCTAGAAATGAATGGGTGAGAGAATGTTGTTTTGTTTTTTTTATTTAGGACTCAGCTGGAAATATGGCTTCCTTTGTGGAATATTCATATTACGGAAAATGTTCAATTTAGAGGTGTCACATGGTTGATTCTGGTGATTGTTCAAACATAAAACTTGTTTTTCTGTTAAATTATATCATACCTACTTTAAAGTCCAGATGATGCATCACTTACCCAGTGCTGCTCTGTGAGATGAATGTGCTAAATAAACACAAATCATGTATGTTTGTATATATTTTATAAAATAAGCATTTATCAAACCCTAAATGCTGGGTTTATTATCATATTTAATCAAGGTTTTTTGCTGTGATTCCTTATTTTCTGTCACTAATCAAATACATTTTTAAGAGTGAATTGCAAAAATGAATTATGAAAATGGTTTCCATTACTTATAAATAATGGAACAATTTAACATGATTAATAATTTTTCATATCATGTATTCGTTTTTCTAACAATATTTTCCCAAAAAGGACTATACATCTGACAGAAAAAATCAACTAGAACAACATTAGGAGAATATTCTGGGCATTACCAAAAACACTCAACTGCCTAGGAATTCATGAGCTCATAAAATCTGCTTGATTTGATGTGGCCTCTTTAGCAGAACACATTTTTCAAACATCTTTGTCATCCAGAAAGCTGCAAATGTTCATAATGTGCAAAGAATAAAAATATACTAAGGTTCATTTTTGACAATGGAAATTCTGGTGTTTGCAGGATTTTGAAAAATGAACCATGCATTTTCTTTTCTAATTAAGGTTTGGAGTCTGTCTGATTGGTGTTAGAAAGGAAGATAACAAAAACATTTTGCTGAATCCAGGTCCTCGATATATCATGAGTTCTACTGATATATGCTTTTATATAAATATCACCAAAGAAGAGAATTCTGCTTTTAAGAAGCAAGAAAAGCATAGAAAAAACCATGAATCAAAATTATCTTGTCATGGAGCTTCTAGGTTACCAGTACACAGTATAATAGCCAGCATGGGTAAGTAAAAAAAAAAATAAAAACATTACATCACAACATATTCTTATTTAATGAGTAGTACATTATAAAGCAGCTTCCTAAACTTTTAAGAAACTGTAATTATGAATATAAAGAATTAATATAAAAACTTCAAACATTTGCCTTAACATTAAAAAAAAAACCCCACAGACAAACAACAAAACCCAAACCAAACCAAAGAAAAACCCAAACCCCCAAACAAACAAATGGAATTGTATTCTCTTTTACTTGACAATGTGGAATTAAACTACTTAAGACTACGGTATAAAAAAGTAATAATAAAGCATGTGCAAAGCAAAACAAGTGGGTTTGAACTTGTAACATATGAGAACTTCTTTGTCATTCATACCTGATTGTAAGAAGTTTTCATGAGCTTCTGTAATTTAAAAAACACCGTAAGTAAAATCTGCAGGTTGTTGATGCATATAAATGTGGACTGATTACATAAGATACGATTTAAAAGAGGTAGTTAACAAGAAGACATAGACTATTTGTCAGGAAGCGTTACTTTCCTTGAGTACAGTTTGAGTTTTATTTCTGCGGAATAAGCACAATCAGCCTAGTGTTGCTGTGAGTCATGCAGCCAGGCAATCCCCACTAAATCCGGCAATCTCGCTCAAACTCTGTGAGAAGCACTGAGGAAATGTTCTCCCTGCCCCTAGGAACCGTGGCCATCGATCTACAGGACAGCGGGTGCCGCGGGGCCAGCAGGGCCACGCTGGCCCTTCCAGCCGAGGCAGGCAGGGAGGGCAGGAGGCCCAGCATAGCCCCGGTGCTGGAGGTTGCAGACTCGTCCTCCTGCCAAACGTGTGATCTGCTCAGTGACCAGTCGGAAGATGAAACCACCCCATCAGATGATGAAGTCTCTGCAGGCTTAGAGTATGTATATTAAATGTAAAATAAAGTGAAAGGTTAATACTATATAAAAAGCACTGATAATATTTTTTGGAATGCAGATCAATCTGAGGACTTCTAGGAAGCAAGTCCCATGAAGCCCAATTATGGACTTATTCCCATTGAGGAAATGCTAGCAGAATGCCATAAGCGTACACTGAAATACAATACCACCCAACAGATTAACTCTTCTATTTGATGGAGATTTTCTCTTTGCAGTTATAAAAGCTGTAGTCATCTATTGCAGTGCATTCGTAGCATATTTTAGGGGCTGCTTTTTTTTTTTTTTTAACTTTCCATAGTTACTAAGTGGTCACTCAACAAATTTGTAAACAGATAAGTATTCCTGTCATGACAATACAGTGCTAATCAGATCATCCAACAGGCTTTTGAATGCTGGGGCTGGTGTCTGTATTCAAAATGCAGGAATGACAAAAAAGCAGTACAGGAAAAATAATCGTATTTAATTCAAAATGCTTGTTAGTGTGTTGCTGAAAATAATGATGCGTTACCCAGAAAAACCCAGAGTATTCAATCCTGCTGTGCAGATGAGCAGCTATGTTTACTGGGATTGCTGACAGGGGTGTTAAAACTGAAATACACAATGAAGCTAGTGTCTCAACCAGCAGTTTCCTGTCTCCATCAGTGGCAAGCATGGGAAGCCATAGGGAAGATTATCAAGCTCCCGAGAGAAAATTAGTAAGACAAGTCATCTTAAATGTGCAGACTGAAACACCAGGATTTAAAAGGCCTCTTGTAAAAAACCACTAAGGCAAATTAGAAATTTTACCTCATCAGGAACAGGATTTGCCATTTAGAATTTCCTTCAGCCATTTTGAAAGTACATTGTTAAAGCTAGAAGATAGTGACTTCACTCATTCTTGGTAAATGTTTGAAAAAAAAAATTGGAGAAGAGCAGAACTGCAGTTATTTCTGTTTTCTTTCCTTCCTTTTTTAACTTAGAGGTTTCAAGTTCAAAACACTATGACAGCACACTATGATACAACAGACTATTTTCAAAAATCCAAGCAAAATTTATTCAGTCTCCAAAAGCATGGTAGCTTTCACTAAGTTCTGTTGAACAGGCTGCAAAATACATTCTTTTGACCTCTATTAAACAGTTTATTTTGTGTACTTGACTCTAAAACTTGGACATATGTATAAACATCCCATAAAACACTTGTGTAGGCAGCTGTATTTTGGTAATTTGCTGTACTGAAAAATATTTTTTTCTGTTTTAGCTATGCCAAAGGCTATCCTCCTTACTCTCCTTATATTGGAAGTTCTCCCACCTTTTGTCATCTTCTGCATGAAAAAGTACCCTTCTGTTGTCTAAGACTAGATAAGGTAAAGGGGATTTCTGCTAATGGATAACCCTGCATTCTCATTTGTCTCTTGCATCTGAGCTGAGCTAAATTCTGATTTCTCTTTAGAGATGAGGTTTGTGCAGTGTTTGCTATAATAGTATATTTTCTCCTTCTTTTCATCATCAAATGTTTAACCACGTCTCTATTGGGTTATCTGGTAAAATATTCACATCCACTGAACTTGTTTCTTACTTTGGTTTTAGGGATGCCAGCATAACTACTATGAAGATGCCAAAGCCTATGGATTCAAAAATAAATTGATTATAGTTGCAGCAGAAACTGCTGGAAATGGCTTATATAACTTTATTGTCCCACTCAGAGCTTATTACCGACCAAAGAAAGAACTAAACCCCATTGTATTACTGCTGGATAACCCGTAAGGAATTTTTTTTCCCCTTTCTGATAAGTTTTAAGCCCATTTTTCCATTACTTCAGTAGATGACTCCTTTTCACGTGGCCAGCTGAAAATCAAAAATGTTATGGCACACTTATCTTTGAGAAAAGTTGGTGACAAAAATCATATTCCATGTTCACTGTTATATAAAAAATTGACTTTTTATTGACTGTTAACAGCCATGGTAAACTTAAATGTTCTTATCCTTCATGGCCAAAGTTTCAGCTAAGTTTTTCTTAAAATTACCCCCAAAAATGTGAATGTTACTGCTAAAATTAGATAGTTTAATAAACACTGTAAAAAGCAAGCTGTGTAACAGTTTCACAGCTACATGACAGCACTAACCTACTTAACACAATGCACTTACTGGCTCAGACCAGCAAGGTATATTTTTAATAACTCTACACTCAAAGATATACAGTTCTTTAAGCCAGAAGGACTCCCGCAGACACACATTATCTAAAATAATTTAAAACCATGGCTGAAAATTAAAACCTGCAGTATTGTTGCTAATTTTATATCTCTCTGGTGACTGCTGGAATTTTTTGCATTTCTTGCTTTTAATATTTCAGACTAATTTGCCTATGTCAAGACTGGTTCATTTATAATCTGATAATGAATTAGTTTTCTGGGGGTTTTTTGCAACACTTTGGTACAGCTCAGCTACTTAAAATCACAGTTTGAAAGACACAGAAATGGAAGTTTGCTGTACATAGAAAAGTAGAGCATGCTAAGAAAGCAAAAATGTCTTGTAGGTTGTGATATTAGGACTGACGCTTCCCTTTGCGTAGATCTGTTGCAGTTTAAGTGATTTTTTTCTACAAAGGCCTGATGTGAAGTGTCCCATTTTCCCTCAGGCAGCTCCTTAGTCACCTGGGTTTGCAAAACAGAAGGGTTTTTTTGTAGGAACTATGTCATACAGTGAATTACACTAATTGAGAAGCCTAAATGAGGCTAAATCACTTCCACTGGCAGTAGGACAGTGAAGCTGTGGGCACAGGAGGCCCTCTAGTGCCAGCTCATTTTGCCAGCACAGGTCCCAGCTTCACACACTTTAATGTTGTTGTGACACTTTATAGCTAAACCCACTTTTGATTGATTAATGTGAAGTAAAAGCTCTACTTGCTAATTAAACCAATACCCTTAGTGTTGTCTCTGTGCAGCGTTTGCAGTCACTCCTCTGAAAGGGAGTAGGCTTGAAAACAGTAGGTGTCACAAATCCTAACTTATGATTTCTCTTTACAATTTAATTAAGAATTGTTGCTGCTTATTTTAAGTCCTCCTAAGACATACATTGGAGTATAACTTGGTAGTGTGTCTTGGACGTCACTTATTTGTTCTTATATTTGGAATTGTCCTGTGCCATTACATTTATGATTTTAGTGGTGTATTTATTAATATAAGCATGTTAATTCTGATCATTCTTTATGATCACAGCAAACTGTTGATTCACAGCTTTCTGCAAACCTGTTTCCTGCTTAAACTGAAATTATAATGTCAAGGTTTAAGAAAGTTATTTTTTTTAAAAAACCCCAAAGTACCAGTTGATTGAAATATTTTTGAAGAGATGCTGCTGTTGTGATACTGTTTCATTTTGTAATTCCATCTGCTGCTTAGGCCAGATATGCATTTTCTGGATGCAATCTGTTGGTTTCCAATGGTTTACTACATGGTGGGCTCTATCGACAAGTAGGTGAAATAACTGTTAGAAAACTTACCTTTTTAGTCTCAGTGGTTTGTTGTGTGTGTTGTCATTGCATGTTTTAATGTGTGTGTGTTGCAGTTGGAGATGAGCTTTTTGCATGCATAGTCTGTGTCTGTGTGCTGTAATTTGGGATTTCAAATTTCTGATTTATAAAGGAGCTCATTAGTGGAAAGCACGACAGGGAGCACAAGTTAATATGTTCAAAAACGTAAGATTAACAGTTATGTAGGTGAGTTTATATGTTTCTATAAATGTGCAGATGAAAGCCCTGATTCTAGTGTCAGTCTGTACTGAGTTATAATTTGTTGGAATTCATTGACTCAGGTTTTGTAAAGATAGCTACAGAATGTAAAAGGTATGGAATGTGTCCAAAAGTCTTCACCTTCCTACTACTTAAATTATCACTTACTCCTGTATTTCTGTCTTCCCCTCTGCTAATATATGTTTATGGATATAGGTTTAGCTACAGAACTTCAATGTGAAAATCAGGCAGAAACAAGAGAAGAGCAAGGACTCATGAATATTTTAGTAAACTCCTCTGTGTAGATTGTAAATTTAAAGAAAACTGTTTGCTTCACTACATAGTAAATACTGAATTGGGGCTACAAGCCCATAATATTAATTCCCCCTGTAGAAATCAAAAACCTTATTTCCTGCTTACAATAATGACACGGTTACAGATTTACCTTGGTGATACCAAATCCTTGCAAGGTTTACAAAGAGCCCACAGAAATGCTATTTACATTTTTTCCAGTAAAGGAAAAAAGGGTCACAGGTTATTAATATCTACTACTTTTTAAACTCTTAATTACATAATAATTATAAAAAGAACTCATAATGGCAGAATAATTAAATTGTTGCCTTTTTCCCAACCTGGAAATGAAACATGAGATAATTTTAGTAAGGAGGTAATATAAAAGGGGATCTTTATTTGAAGGCCTCCCAAGGCAGTTATGGAAAGATGTCCACAAAAGCCTGCCCCTCCGGTGGTGAATACAATTTTATAGGTTTTAGGAAATTATCATAATTGATAAAAAGCACCAATTAGGAGGACAAATGGTGATGAAATTTTACCCCCAGGTCAAGCCCCTTCTCTGGAGTCCCCCCCTTGGCACTTGTTGCACTTTGTCCATGAAATGTATCTTGAAGAGTTGTTCTCGGCCTTGGTTCCCAGGAAGGACCAAGATAGTGCTGGGGCTCTGCACCTCCTGGGGCTTGGAGCTCTGGAATTTTTTTTGTCTTTCTGCCTAGGGAAAGGACATGGAAAATTACTGGGAAAACTAACTACTAATATAATAGGCTACAGAGCTACAAATATATGTGTGAAAAATACAGAGAACATATAAAAGGAAAAAGGCAAAACCAAAACGGCATCAAAATGTTTACTCAAGAGGGAATACTCAAAGTATTCAAAGTAATTAATAACTCAGATGTTAAACTGTTTTACTAATTTAGAAAATTAAACTGTTTAAATTGATTGAGTGTATTTAAAAATGGAAATCACCAAATTCCTCCCTAATGGTGTTTTGTTGTTCTTTCAGAATTAAATGCATTTTTAAAAAAATGAAGCATGTAGTCTTTAGAATAAGTGATTATTCAGAATTCAGAAGTTCACAGTAATAGCATGAACTTCTGCATCTTTTCTGACACTAAAATCACTTTAATTCCTGATGCAATAAGCACCTGGAGTTTGTAGAGGGTTTTTTTGACATCTGTTATCATCAATAAGAATACTTTAAAAAATATAGTTCATACATATTCCCTGTGTTTTCCTCACCATATTTTTAAATCATGTACAACTTATATATCTGATCATCTGTACATAAGAAACACATTGTAAAATAGGCAAATTTTCCTTTCTTATTTAAGGGGTATAAAATATGTTCTCAAAGTACCACATACTATCTATAAGTATCTAAAATATTTATAATTTGTTCAGTAGCAATCAAGTATCATCATCTCAGAGAGAAAACTACCGAAGGAATGACTTTCATTTACCATTCTTTTTCTTGTTAGAAATTAGAAGGCTCACAGAAAAACAGCTTTACCAAATTCATAGCAGAGGTGTATTTCATCAAAATATATCAAGATATAAAAGATATAAATCTATGTTACAATCTTGAGAAACCTTTAGCTAGAGGTACCTGAGAACTAGAATTATACTTCCACATTAGCATTTTTCAAATTCTCCACAAGCCAGCCGAATGTAACTGCTAAAATAAGAATAGCTGTTGAGTTTATGAAACATTGAAATGCAGAAAATCTGAGTATTTCAGAATATATTGCTATTTTCAGGGATCAGCTGAAAGTCTGAAAAAAGCAGAAATACAAATTACTCAGGAAAAAAGTTTGGACTTCTACTTGTGCACTGCAGTTGTTCATAGATCACATAAAATCAGTTTTTCTTTTGTTATAGTCAAACAGTTTAAAAAAAAAAATAATGGTATATATTCTTCTAAAATACGTTGTTAAAAAAACCCACCACACTTGTCAAAAAGTGCTTAGGATCTGTGGAAAATGTTAAAACAGCTGAAACATGCTTCATTTTGGAGACAAAGCTACAATGCATGATGAGAACTGTAACTCAGCTGTCTGTGAGTGTTTTCTGTGGTTGGGCTTCACACAAACATCATCCAGCTGTGCACAAATTCTGCTGCTCTGCAGCTGCTTCTAAGAGCATCCTGAGAACACTCCAGTTCATTTATTAGCATTTTGAAACCAAAATAAAACTGTGGGGAAGAGCAACCTGGAGCATTTATTTGGGTTTTTCTATTGTCAGAAGTAACTGCAATGGAGCAAGTTGTTCCAGTGGATAAGGCTAAAGTCTTCTCAAGTAACTGATAAAGGCTTATAAAAAAAAAAAATTGAAATAAATTTATCTTTAACAAAAGAGAGGGACTGTAACAACCTACTGAAGTAGATTCTGTATTCTATTCTACCAATTAATTGAGGTGTTATCCTTAATTAATATAGTATGATAATATTGATAATATAATCAATAAGAAGTTGTTACGTCTGCAGATGCAAACCGTGGCTAATCTTTCAGGTGTTCCATATTTAAGTTGCTTGTTTCTTTCTACCTCTTTCTCTTCACAAAAGCCTAGATGACTTATTAAGGTGTGGGGTCACCTTTGCAGCTAATATGGTGGTGGTGGACAAAGAAAGCACAATGAGTGCCGAGGAAGACTACATGGCAGATGCCAAGACTATTGTGAATGTTCAAACACTCTTCAGGTAAGGCATTTTTGCAATCTATTTACACATCTTCATTAGTTATGAAATACTGGATGCCTCTTGTGCCAAGAACTTACTCTTTTTTTATTCTGCTTAAGTTTTCCCTTGCATAAATTTGTGTCTTACATGGGCAACTTTTTCCCACTCTGCTTAGCAACTCACTTAGAATCCTGAGGTATTCTCCTGAAAGCTAAGATGAAGTGCGTTGCATCCCAAAACCAGATAATCATTTTAAAATTTAGCTGTCAGGTTTACAGGAAGGAAAATAAAGTTACTCTTGAAGACTTAGGATGAAAGATAGTTGAGAGAAGAAACTGCACAGTAATGCTAAAGCCCATACAAAAAGCATATCCTTCTAATGCTGAAAGGTAAGCAGTGCATCACTATGAAGTTAGTAGTAAGTGTTGAATTTTGAATGTCTATTTTTTCACAGAAGTTAGGTTTTTAGGCACATATATACAATATTACATATGACAGCAGTTGGAGTCTGAGGCACAGAGTGTGCCCTTGTCTCTGATACCTAGCTCTGACATCCAAGAAAACATTGAGTTTCATGTAGAACTGTGAGAGCAGCTGTTAAATAGAAAAATTAAAAGTATAAGTGGGTAGATTAGAAAGTTTTCTTAAGTCACTGGTGAAAAAGTTAGTTTAGAGTTTAAGCTAATTTAGAGAGCAGAAGACAAGATGGAGGATTTAAGGTGTTATCTCTTTCCCTTCTTCTTTCTTTTTCATTTTCTTCTTCTAGAAGTTTTTAAGTAATAGTAAGTGATTAGATAGAAAATGCTGCAGTGCAGTACACAGGTAGTGAATCACTGAGTCATTAAAAAAAAAAATATACATGTCTATTGTTAATTAAGTAAGAATAAGTATAAAGATAAAGAAACTGCGTAGTTCAGGGCCGTTTTGTGATAACATCCTAATAAACATGAGAAATAAGATCCTAATGAACTTTGAAGTTTTCTTCCTGACCCAGAGAACCGAGATAAACAGAAAGAGTATTCTGAAAGAGCTCAGCTCAGAGACTGAGAAATCCAGGTTCGGGAAGCACAGCATTGAAACAGTTTCAACACACACACAGTGTGAAAAAATTTTAACAGCAACATAGTAAGAGTCATGAGAATATAGTATGATCAGTCTAGTAAAGAGGCTGAAGAGGCTGTGATGAAAAGCAAAACACTGAGATTTGCTGTTCCTTTTGAGAACTCTCCTCATTAAAGCCTTTGTGTTCAATATCTTGGTTCTATAAGTATGAAAAAATGGGTTGCTTTGAGCTGAGATAAACATTATTTGCTTAATAAAAACATCCCAAAAATCTCACACAAAACAAAACACAACTACACAGTCAGGTATGAAATGCCTCCCTGATTTGGGGATTAAGCCTAGCACTTCCTGGTGTTTATTCTAATAAGACCTGAAAGAAAATTGAGTATGATTCAATGTTGCTTTTATTGGAATTGCTTGTTTTCTGTGTCAAACCTTCCATGAAAGACTGAAGAGAGATGCATAGTAAAAGTATTTTGAATTCTTCAGTGATTTTGAAAACTGAGCTCATTAAAATACAGTGGAGATGTTTTTTGGTAAATGCAGTTCTGAGAATGCAGTTAAATGCTCTTTGCATTTCTGCATATGCTCAAAGGAAGCAAAATCTGCATTGCACAAGAAATGTTAATTCTGTCTTTCTCTAATATTTCTGTTTCTGAATTAGTACCTGATACCTGCATGGTGTATGTTTCCTATTGACATCTATGAAATTTGGGTTGAAATGATAATTGAACTTTATCATCATTCATGCATCACTCAGATCTACCTCTAACCATACAGTGCTAGGGCATCTCACTGAGATCTTTTGCATACATCAGTTTTTCAGAAATACAGTTTACCCCCAGATGGAAAAAGGAGTTGTATGAAAAGAAAAACTTGAAAAGTCCCAATTGTTTTTTCCCCTAGTTGTGTTCTACTTTGTGAAAGAGAAACTACATATGATAGGTATGCCATTAGATGTTACTGTATACTCCTTCAGTTGTCTTGCACATGGTTTGCAACTAGATGGCAGCTTTAACTTGTGTACAAATTCTGTGTCTGGTTCAGTATTGTTTTAACATTGTATATTTACAATCAAAGTAAATTAAAAGAAATACCTTGGTTTAAGAGTTAACAACACTTTTTCATAAAACTTTGTAAACTTTCACAAATAGTGTATTGTATATACACATATATGCAATATATATTATATATACACATATATAATATGTTTTCTATTTTTTTTCCCTGGAACACATATAATAATTTCACTGCATTTTTATATTATATAAAAATTGTAGAAGTAAGTAAGCTTTGGGAAGAGGCATAAGGTAGTGACATTTACCAGTTCTACAGAATAAACTACATTCATTACTACACTAAGGCAAATAGTTTTGTAAATGACCTTTAAGAATATATTGAAGCTTTTTTGTTACTTATGAATACCTAATAATATCAGAAAGCAATGAAGAAAAGACTGGACATGCAGCACTCAACACCAACTGTAGTGTTAAAGAGGGATTTTAAACCACTGGATTTAATATGCTGTTTTCAATGGTATCACATCATTGACGAAGATTCCACTTCAGTCTTACCAGGTGAAACCATTCAGAGGATACAGGCTGATCTAAACACCCCTGATGTGAGTTACTCAGGCCTGAAAAATGTGAGAGTGCTGCAGTAGTGTTCAGCCTAGGCTGGCAGATCTCATACACCAGTTGTGTCATTATTCCCTGATTTACATAAATTACTAATCCTGCTTTGCCAGGAGAGTGTGCTCCCCACCCTGAAAGGCAGATGCATTGTTTATAAGGATGGGTTATTAGCACCTTTAGGGCTAGAAGCTGTGCCATCCCAATTGAAACTGTGACACAGCACTGTATTACCTGACATAGGAGTACAGAAGTGTGACTCAAATGGGCACACTGACTAAGAAAGAACAAGTTATCACAGCTTAAATATAAAAGGAGAAATTAACAGTCTTGGACTATATCTTAAGAAGCTTTTCACTTCTTAAAATTAAATAGGAAGCCAACCACTGAGTCCCTGTAGACAGATGTGAGCCCACTTCAGAAAAACAGCACATTTCCTCAGGCAGTAGGTCTGTAGTACTATAAAGTTTTATTAGTTAACCTCTTAAAGGCTATTTCAAATCCTTCAAGAAGCCTTTTGCCAGCGGTACATGTACAGGTCAGTGTTTTGGCTGGTATCTAGCTGTCAGCACCAATTTAGAGATAAACTAAATGAGGTGCTACGATGGCATTGCATTATTTTCTAGATTTATCGTTGTGGTTTGGGAAAGAACTACATGTCTGTCTTGTTTGTCTGATTTCCAAATACAAGTTCAACAGTAAACCATTGTTCCATCAGTCTGGTGGGGGATTTCTCTTCCCCATCCAGAATGGGGTAAAAGAGAGGGGTCTTTGCCCAGAAGGAGCCTGCTCCAGTGCTAAAAGCTAGCAGGCAGTGTCCCTTACACCCAGGGCAAGATGCAATCTGTCCCTGACTAACTAGAGAGTAATATCCCCTAATTTGACTAAAAAGCACTTGTAAGTAAAATGTTTTACCAATACCAATTTTGAAACAGATTTCCTAACATAAATCAGTTTTCATATCTTGATGATAAACTAAGCCATCTCTAAGAGAAACATAGCGGCCTGCATTTTTTCTTCCTGTGTATATTTTATCATGAGATCAGCTTTTAATTTCCTATTACTCCTAATTCTGAATTCTGTAGTGTTAGCTTTCAAATGTGGGATTAACACATATTGACAGATAGTCTGTATATACATTTGCTCATTTAGTCTCTGCTAAATGAGCAGTATATCACTGCTGTTTCAGTGATGTTTCTCCCTGCAAAAGTGAGGGAAATGGACAAGACTTCCGAAAGGTGCACTGAACTCCATTTGACACTAATTTACCAAATCCTGCTTCCATGAAAAGTGAGCCAGAAGCCACATCTATGATGTAATTAGTACTACAATTACATATTGCTAAGTGTAGATAAGTAGCCTCAGGATCAGTGGAAGAGGCTATAAATCTGCATCTCATTTTCTGACATGAATCTGTAGAGGAAAGATTTAAATAATAATATGCATTCTATTCCAACTTGTTTAGTATTTAAATAGTGTAAACTATGATTTTCTTTCTGTTTCTTGGAGCTCTGAGTGCTGAGGAGAGGCTCTTTAGTTTGCTGCTTGAAAATTTGTGTAATTCAGTTCAAAGTTGAGCTTTCTTCACTGCTTTTAGTTACTGGAAGCCTGAATGGATATTAAGTTATAAATATTTTGTAGATATATAAATATTTCAAAGTGAGAACATAAGTATATATAAACATATGTTTTCTCAGAAACTCCCACAAGTGTCAGTTTTCATCTGTATTGCTCAGACTGTAGTCACAGCATGCAAACAGACCTCAAGCAAGAAAAACCAACTGGAAAGGGTACATAAATCAGTAGTACTTTACATGCAACCAGGTACTAAGTACGAGCTTTAAACTTCTGCAATTTTGGTTGTTTCCTACAGATGTTTGATATTGTACCAATCATTAAATAAAATTTCTCATAATTAAATTAAGTTGTTTCTTTCTAGCATATAAGTGTTTTGTGAGTTCAGTGTGTGCTTCTTTGTGAATTCTACAGAGAACATGTTGTAGTTTCCACTGCTGTTGGACCAGCATTTCATTTGGCCCAGACCTACCACAGGTTTCAGGACTTAATTAAAAAGATGGACATGAGCACAAGCTGTAGCTTTATGTAGAGCCTTACATTTGTGAATTGTTATAATAAGAAGTATAACCACTACATTCTTTGAAAATGCAGGTTGTTCTCCAGCCTAAGCATTATCACAGAACTAACTCACCCGGCCAACATGAGATTCATGCAGTTCAGAGCCAAAGACTGCTATTCTCTTGCTCTGTCCAAATTGGAAAAGGTAAGGAGATTTGCCTCTCCCCATCCTCAATTTAAATTATATACTTTTATTACTTTTTCTGATTTTGTAACAATGATTTCAAAACAATGAAATTATTTATGGTTGTAAAGCTACCATAAAATATTTTCTTTTTAAAAAAAATTCTACCCTCATTTAAGAATAAAGTTTGATTTCATGTAATTAATTTACTATATAATATTAATCAACCAACTCTCTGGTTGAATTTGCTCAAGGAAAATGTTTTTGGATATTTAAATATTTAGAGCTAATGTAGTTGTCCAGCAGGGTGACACAGGCAATTAACATGGAACATCTTTTAACTAACTAAACACTTAAAACATACAGCTTTTATTATAATGTATTTTTTAATTCCACTTCATTTTAAAGGCATTATAATCATGTCTTCTGTACACATTTCTGTATATCCATGGGAGATATTGGCATTACTGGGATGGTTTGAGAACCGCAATTGTTCTCTGTCAAAATGATGAGAGGGACAGCGACACTACTTAAATGTTAGATAAAACCTTCATATTCTGTATGTATATTTGGCATTTTCAAATTGTGGAACTGTGGCTGTATGGAGATAAATTTAAACTGCTTGTTCAAAACACTGTTTCTTAAAACAGATGGAGCATAGGAAGTAATATTGTGCATCTGTTTAACTCTCTAAACTCAAGGACAGTCCTCTTTCTCACAAATTATCACTGGTGATCTGACCTTCCCACCTCTGCACACCCCAAATTTTACAGTATTACTTTCATGATCTTGGCCATATTCTGAGTTTGTGAGAGACAAATATCACTGTGACAATATTCAAGGGCAGAAATCCTTCACTACATTCTTTTCTTTCTCTCTATCAGTCCTGTCAATCAGTATGACTGCTGGGTTTTCTTGTGTACCCTCCCAACTGGTGCACCTCAGGCATCTTTCACATCGTGGTGAATTTGAATTCATGCCAAAATCATTACCATTGTACAGATTTAACATACAATTTCCATTTCCTAGTTGTACCGTAAATTTCCTAGATTTTTGGTATTTCAGACTTCACTATTTACTGTTTAATATTCATGTAGGTAATTTTAATATATACTTAATGGAAAAGAGCCTTTTCATAGAAACTTATCTTCCCAGTCCAGTTTCTTACAAAGGAACTGAATGCTGCAAAAATTCAGCCTGTGTGGATGAGATAGGATAAGGATGAGAAGTAAATCTTTTACTCAGATGAATATCACACATTTTGACCACAAAATGTAAATATCTGGGTGGCCTTTAGTGACTTGTTATCTTTGCCCGTAGTAGCATGAAGGCTTGATCTTGTGTTTTGGTGGTGTTCTGACAGAGATATAACCTGGAGAGCTGTGAGTAAGGCAGACAAAAGTTGTTGCACAAAGAGAGGAGCTGATTGCAGCAGGAGGCTCAGCTTTGTTGGAATAATGCCAACCACCCCCACTACCCTTTAAGGTTTGCACTTGTGGCTCCTCCATTGTAGCACTTCCTCCCTCCATGGTAAATCCACAAAGGATAAGCTAAAACTGGCTGGAATCTGCATTGGCAGTTCTTTCAGGGCAACAAGGGCCAACAGATGGCTAGGGCCTTCAACACTGTTTCAACCTAACTAAAATGTCTTGGTGTACTATCACAGACAGTGTTTTTGAAATTATTTGTTGACATTTTCCTTTAATCCAATTCCAGTTGGATTCTGGAATTCTCTGTGAGCTGTCTACCTCCATGCAGTGAAACCAGGATTTTTATCTCAGTTCTTTATTTACATAGGCTCCTAAATTTTTCAAGCAAATATTCTGGAAATACTTAAAAATATTAAAAATAAAAATAAAAATTTAACTTCTTGACTATCTTTATTAATTTATTGTGCAAAATTTGTGAGGATAGGTTGGAAGCTGAACATTTATTGAACTTCCTATCCAATCTACACTCTGTTGAAACGGAGGTAGATAAATTATCTTAAAGAAAGAACATTTTCTTCATTGCTCTTGCAGTTGCCTGCTGTTGATATTTCCCAATCACTTCATCTTAGCATTTGCAGGGGGAACTTCACAGGTGGTGCCAAAGTTCATTCGATGTTTCAGAGCTCCCTCATGCAAAATGAAAGGCAATTAAAAACTCTAGTAAAAATTACCTAAAGCAGTCAAACATACAGTTGCTTGTTATTTCTGCATTAAGCACCTCATTTCCAGAAAGACTGAGAATGTCAGGCAAGTTGCCTTGAGGTAGCAGTGAAACATACTTGCTAAATTGTCTTTTCGACCTAATGGGCTTCAGAAGACAGATACACAAATCAGATGTCCATCTGCTGTTGCAGCTGCAAATTTTCTCATTTTAGTGATAAATAAATCTTACAGTAAACTCAGCACAGACATAGGAGAAAGCAGAGGCCTTTATACAACAGAGACAAGGAAAAACAAAACACCCACACTCTAAACTTGAAATCTATGTTCTCCATTTGTCTTGCATAAGAAAAGAAATGTGGTAACCAGTCCCTTCTTCTTGAAAGAAAGAGTTTTTAATGTTTTGGATAGGATTCAGGCTTTAGTTTCCTATGGTTTTTTTCCAAGTAAATATTGCAGGTGTTAGTGATAGAAATCCTACAGCTGTAAGTGTTCATTTTGAAGTAAGTGCAAGTTCCTATATCTTTTCATCAAACCAAATCCTGTGATTTTGTATCTTCCACAGGGATAAGCGCACAGATGTTAGGTGAACAAAAATCTGTCTGGGATGGCCCAGTATATTTGCTGTGATTTACAGAGAGCCAGGCTGCTTTTCTAACTTTCAGGATGGGGTTTCCTATTTCCTGTCTCCATTTTTTTTTCCTTTAATATAATTCAGGTATTAAGCAGATTTGAATTAACATTAAGTAATAAAAAACAATAATGACATATGAGTTAGAAAAAGAGATTGGTACCTCTTATTAATGGTGTCATATTTAACATAGATCTGTAACAATTTATGTAAATTCTAAGATTGTAAAAGCAATTAGCACACAAATTTGGCTGTTGAACTCACAGGTTTTTAGGAAGTTGTTCCAGATCAACACCTGAAAATTAGTTTCTTCTTGCCAAGAAAGTATTTATTCTATATTTATATTTCTTCTATATATTTCTCTATATTCTGTGTATTTCTATATATTTCTTCTTTTGTATTTATATTTCTCACAAATCTCTTTGAAGCAAGAATAAAGGAAAAGCAAGAGATGGAAGATGTAGAAGAGATGGAAGGAAACTAAACAAGCCTGGTCCAGTCATATGAGGGTTAGCAAGACCAAGGGCCAGGTCCTGCCCTTCGGTCACAATCACCGCCTGCAGCACTACAGGATGGGGATAGAGTGGCTGGAAAGCTGCTCAGGGACAGGAGTGCTGGTTGATAGCCTAAGCCAGCATGTGTCCAGGTAGCCATGACATCGTGGCTGGTACCACAGTGTGGCCAGGAGCACCAGGGCACTGATTGACCCCTGTGCCCATTTCTTTCCTTTTGTACCAGATTGTGTTCATGTTTCGTGTTCCTAGGAGACTTCCTGGATCAGGATGACAGTGCACTGTCAGCACCAAGGAGCTGGAGCAGGTTAACAGGAGATAAGCACAGCTGATATCTCTCCATCTTTTTAAGACTGATCTGGCGGAATATGCCCATGCAGTTTGAGATGTGATGACTGAAACAACATATACATTGATCAGTGTCTTTCAACCTGAAGAACTGTACCTATTGAATAAAGATCCTGCATGTTTATAGGAAGAAACCATGTTGAGAGTAAAGGGATTTTACACTTTTGACTTCTTTCAGGATAATATCTATTTCATGTTTTTGTTTCAGTCCTTCCAAAATCAGTATTAAAAATGTTTTCTGTTTTTTAATTCCTTAACAGAAAGAGCGGGAGAAGGGATCTAATCTGGCATTTATGTTTCGATTGCCCTTTGCTGCTGGCAGGGTTTTCAGCATCAGCATGTTGGACACACTGCTTTATCAGGTACTATGAACAGTACTGTAACTTAACACAAATATTACCACCCATTTTATTGTTCTTAATTGCTGGATGACCCTATTTTCTGACATAGGATCCATTCAAGTGACTGGGACCAATCAATGGCAAAACATAATGGAGTGTGCTCCACATGTTAGTTCAGTTATCAGTCCCAAAATCACTCTGTGACTGCACAAAATCTGATGTTACATAATATAACACTGTTTATGTACCTCTCCACAGTCAAATAGCTTTGATAAGGCCTACGTAATAATGCTTCTATGTTGCTAGAGGACACAAAATACTTCACATGAACATCTCTCAGTGTTGGAACAAAAAAACCATCCTTTATTCTCTGACTCTAGTATTTATAGATTCTAGAAAATGACCAGAGATTGGATAATTAAGTTAGCACCTTCCCAAACACACTGGTCATGGGAAACGTCCATCAAAAGACATTTCTTAGAAGGAATGTGATAAACAACCTATATTTATGTCACTTTCATGGGAAAGTAACTAAAACTATGGAAATATTATCAGAAGGCTTCAATTTCCAGGGTGACATCTCACCCTTTCTCCTTTAAAAAAGAAAAAGAAAAAAGAAAAATGAACAATTCTAAATAATCAGAAGGCTCTAGTTTCAGGGTGATACCTGTACTCTGCAACAAAAAAGGCAGGGCCCTATTCGCCCATTCCCATGGCATTGTGCCCCTAACAGAAAGGAGCAAAATTACTTTAACATGTAATTTATTAGTCTCTTGCATTTGCTGATAAAGGCCTCATTTACTTATTGTCCTCTTCTCTTACTCGTGTTGACTAGACTGCAGAGGCCTAATCAATACATTGTAAAGTAAGCCATGCTTGCCCTTGCAAGAAATGCATTCAGTGGTTACAAAGAGACAGTGGGGGAAGAAAAGGCAGCAATTCAACCTTGTGGCTCAGAATCCAGGAAGAAGTGATGACAGTGAGAATCAGGGACGAGCACAGCTTCAGGGATGTGAAGAAAAAATATCAGAAAATACAGTCAGGGCAAATGGAGGCAGTAGTTGCTAGTTTCAGGGTGGAAAATAGGCCAATAGTGCTCACTCTTCAGCAGTGCCCAGCAGTGCCCACTTTTCTGTACACTGACATACCAGGATGCCCAAGGAGCAGCCCCCAGCGCCACCCTTCAAGGATCAAGGCACACAGCATAAGCAGGAACACCACCGTGGCCCACATCATCTCTTCACCTGAGCAACCTCCTGCTTTGCCTCAACCTGGGGATAGCCTGTGGATGCTATCAGGCGGAAAACATCCTTGCAGGGCTATTAATTTACTTGGTAATTTGGTGCATGAAAGGTGTTCTTTCATCACAATTCTACTTACAAATAAATTTTCTGAAGGCAAATCCAACATAAATAGAAAAATTCCTGGAGCTAAACTTTTCTCAAGAAGTCATTAATATATAAACCCATCATGTATATGGACATACATATTTTAAGGTTCTAGAAATACATGTATTTGCATATAAAATATCTTAATAATCATGCCCCAGAATATCAGCATCACATACCACAATATTAAAAAGAAGTAAAAATACCAAAGACACATATATAGAAACAGATCTGTCAATCATCAACAGCTCCTGCCAGCACATAGGTAACTTTAATTTTTATATTTGTTCCTACACATGAATAATCATGCTATGATTTGACAGAGTAATGCCATTCACCAGAAAGTATTTAAAACAAAAAGCCTTACATACTCATTCTCACTTTAATTCCACCTGTCCTTCCTTTGAACTGCTACTGCTCATAGGTGAACTGTCATTTTTCTAGAATTATCTTTCTTATTCCAAGTTAGAAATTCTATAACAGCAGCTCTTTGTTCTTTTTCATGGTCCCATTTTCTGTCTTTTTTTTCTGCAAGAAACAGAGCAAATGACATGTGGAACATTGAGGTTCAGCTGCTGCTTCCCATTATAGGCTGAAAGAAAAGCCTTTGAATTATCTTTAGGACAGTGACTGAAAAATGAAAACTTGGTCTTGCAAATGCTGGTGAATAAACTTGTTGATTTATTGAAAATTCAGTGTCAGAAATGATGCAGCCAAGATAACAAGTAGGTTTAATTTGCAAGCAAATTTTATTCAAGATGCTCCTTGGCGTTTAGCCCATCACAACTGGGAGACTACCAGTACAAAAATTAAAATAGTTGAATCACTGTGTATCAAATGAAATCCATCTAGTTTCTGAGTTTGAACAAATCCAGATTCTCTAGCTCTAAAGAATTTCTGTAATACATTTGTGAGGTATTTCTTTTGTGAAAACCTCTTTGTTAGCTATGCATTTGCATGAAGCCAGCAGAGCTACAGTGTGTGCTGCATTCCAAGGACTGCAGTGCTGCCCTGCTACACCTGAATACAGGTGGCAAGGAACAGCTCAGCCACAGCTAGAAGAGCACCCACATGGCCCTCTCATTCCAGCAGCCCAGCCCAGGAGGAGAAATACTTGTGTTTTAGCTGATTTAATTTTAGTCTGTTTCTGGCCTTCGTCTACATTTCTACACTAAACTTAATTTCTACCTTTTAACCAATAGCAACATACTGTTTAGCAGAGCAACGAGGCATATGAACTCTTCAAAACCCTTCAGATTACTCATTTGAATAAAAATAATAGCAGTTTCACCTCAGAGGGACCCACTGAGGACTGCAGATCCATCTAACATATGCCAGTGTTTCTTTTGCACAGAAGAGTTTATTGTAATTTCACACCTCATAGGGCTAACACCTCACTTCCACTGACACATCCATCTTTGCTTTTACCATGCCTTAGTCTCCTGAATCTTGTATGTACATTGCATGCACATGCAGAGCCTATTTAGAAAAACTTACTTTATATAAGTAAATTCAGCAAAAAGAAAAGGATAGGTATTCCTACAGTGATTAAGATACTTAAAGAGATGGACTGTAAACACAGATGTATAATTTCTTTGAAATTCACACTCAGTGCTAATGGTTGCCTACTCATCTATTCATTAAAGCTTTTTTCTTTCTTTTCTGTCTCTCCTGTTAAAAAATCTTGCAGTCATTTGTGAAAGATTTTATGATTTCTATCACAAGACTTCTGCTGGGACTTGACACCACACCAGGATCTGGGTTTCTTTGTTCTGTAAGTTATTTAAAAAAAAACAAAAACCAGTACAGAGTACCAGAGAAGATTCTGTACTGTCTGCAAAACACTTCCACTTTCTTTGTATGGCATTTCCTTTTGTGAAAGTTCAAGGAAGGCCATCTGTTTCCTTTTTCATCAGGGAGAAGAAGAGGAAATGAAACAGAAAACATACCCGTTTTTAGTTTCATAGCAAAAAAACATCTCTCCGAGAAAACATAATTCATTCTATTCAGCAGAAAATTGGAAAGTCAGGAAAACACAGGAATAGTGCATTTTATATTACATACCAATGGCAGTTCAGCAACCAATTTAAAAATTATGTATACAAAATTTAAAAATTAAGTATACCAAAACCAGAAAGCACTACCTGTATTGTGCTGCCTGGCCAGGACTATCTCCCAGTCCCCATTCCTATGGGCAATAAAGAGCGTATGTAGTTTTTACATAAAGATCAGATGTATTAAATGACTAGGAGTTGGAGTTAAAAAATCATCTTGTTATTATACATGTCAATATTACCCAATGCAATTTAACTGTGTATATACATACATAAAATCTTAAACAACTGAAGTAATTTTTACTAAAATAAGCCGCACCTTTCTGTTTTCTCCCACACCCATCATACCCTGGGTAGCAAACATATCAATACAAGCTGAGTTATTAAAAGTTGCTTTGTGATGATCTATAAAGAACAGCAGGGACGTATCAATAATGGTTTAAAAAAGTTGTTTAAATAAAAACTACATATTTCTTGGTCAATCATTAAGCTTTATTACAGTGAATGTAAGAACACTTGAAAGTGCAATTGAATCTTTAAAAAGGAACACATCATACATCTCGAAATAAAGCTAGTAATGAAACAAGTGAGCTTTGTGTAAGACTTGTTATGCCACTTATTCTTAGTGTATTACTTCCTCCCCACTCCCTTATCCCCACATATTCAGCATGCAGTCTGGTGGACAAAATTCAAAATACTCATGCACTCCAGTCTGTCCACACTAGTTTCTTATTGCTGACAATATTTCATTTATTCATTTATATTTTAGTGAAATTACTTTAGACAGTGGTTGAAGGCTGCCGTGTGAATTTTAAATAATCTTAAACTAAGACCAGAAGTTCATAATGCTAAACTGCTTCTACTACAATGTCTTCTAAACAGGGAAAAAGCTAAAGAAACAGTCTGACAAACTCAATAGAAGTTGCAGATTTGTTGTGAAACAACACTACAATGGGATAATTACCAGCTAGTGTTTAGTTTTGTTGGTTTTTTTTTCCCATGAGTAGCATAGTGAACAAGTGATAATCCCTCAAGAGTTAAAAGTCCTCTCTCCTATTGTTATTTGTTCAGATGAAAATCACAGAAGAGGATCTGTGGATTAGGACATATGCCAGACTGTATCAGAAGCTTTGTTCCTCTACAGGAGACATTCCAATTGGAGTCTACAGGACAGAATCCCAGAAGCTCACAACATCCGAGGTGGGTCAGTTCACCATATTTTTCTGTGGGTTTGACTGCAGAGTGCACGAGGCCTCTGCTGACACATGGATGGTCACACTAACCCAGGCTGAGCCCCAGGCTCCAGCAGTGCCCAGGGCCAGAGGACACCTGGCTTGTGATTCCTGTGCTTGCCTGCAGGGAATGGATGGATGGGAAACAAGGGGCATCCGTGAAGCAATAAAATCATGGACAAAGGACTCCCTAACTACTTAACATGAGAAAGTGCTTTATTATGGCTGGGCAACATGCTGGAATCATCACCAAAGACTGTGCGCCTGTCACTGCCCCTCATTCCCTATTTATTCCCCAAAGTATTACATATATACAGGATTACATATGCATAGGATTACACAATACGACTATACATATTCATTGCTGACTCTGGCCCACTCTTGCCTCATATGGTAATGAGCTCCCCGCCCCTCTGGGCATGCTCATTTCTTCTTTTGAAATGGGTATGGGGTCTTTCTAATGAAATCGTTCTTTTCCTTGGGCTTGAACTTTTCAAGTGTATCCTGTTTGCAGTTCTCCTGGTTCTCTTGGACACAGTTGAGATCCCTTGCTTGCAGTTGTGGACATGGTTCCTTTCTTTTCCACTACAGTCCATTCTCCTTGTCCTTCTACAAACACAACTTAAGACAAGAGGAATGACATATATATATATGTCCTTGGACCATTCATTTTATTTTGGCAATTGTTGGCTACATTGTATTCCCTCTGCAAGCAGGACCTGCATAGGTGTCTAATCAAGCACACCCAGTCCTACACTGCCTCTATCCCAAATTCTCTTTCATATTCTCCACTCTGAATTTTCTCATAAGCTGTTTCTATTTTAGTTAAAGTCTTAATTCTCTAAATTTCTTAACTCACCTGGGTATGGCCAGGACTGTGTGAGCTGTCCTCTGACCTCGCTGTGCTCACTAAGGGCAGTGTTTGTAACAAACAAACCAGGCCCTCTGGTACTTGTGTCAGCAATGCCTCTCAAAACAGGTAGCATTTCACTGCTCACATGACCTTCTAATTCATTCTCTTGTTGCTTATTTCTAGTTAGTGTTATTCAAAGTATTGTGGACTCTCTCTAAATTTAACTGCCGAACAGTGGTAATATTTTATGTATGTATTTCTGTGTTTGCCACACAAACGTGTACATTTCTTCATCTCTATGTTTATGAAAAATGGCAAAAATACTTTTTCCTGACTATTTAACGTACTTCTTTTGTTTGGGCAGCTTTGCTTTCTGTCATGTATTTGTTTACATTTGTTTACAAGACCATTAGTACTGCCATTTCATTAAACAATGGCTTTACTTTATTTTCAAACAAATACTTGTGCAATTTCTTGGTTAGTGATTCAGAATTTGTACAACTTTTCCCCTCCAGAGAGGGGCAGGGAAATCTCCCCTCACCTACATCTTTCTCAGAATACGAAGGAGCAACATCTAGCTTTGTGTCTGTGGCCTTTATGGATAGAGACCTGTCTAATGTCGTGTATTTTTTCTTGTTCTTTTCCTCAAGGTTGATATTAATGAGCGAGAGAGACAGTTTTTGTGTTCATACTCAGTTGTTTATTTTTTCTTATCTATATTAGATTACACAGACAGGGAGGTCGTCTGCACACTAAGCTAACAGTCTAGAAAATGGGGCCCCAGGTATCCCTTTCCAAGGCCTTTTAAGTGTCAACTACCCAATATAAAATGCCAACTAATTTATTTTTACTTGAAACCCAATAACCAAACACCTGTGTTCTGCATTGCGGATTTCTCTATCCATTCACACAGTATTACTAAAATCCATGAAGAAGGAGAAAGATCAAGGCAAGTTAACACCCTAAAACCTCCGTCTTTTTGCATAGATATTACTATATTCTAAAACCTTAAAGTCTAAATTTTCTGCCAGGTCATATAACACACTTCTATTCAAACTACACACTCACAAGTTTCCATTCTTTCTATCAATTTTGGAAGCTTTTTCCACGGCCTCAGGTCAAACACAGTGTTCTGTTGTGGGTCTGTTCCTGTCAGCGCAGAAAGCATGAAATTCTGTGTCCAGGGTTCCAACATCTCCCCCTCCTGTTTGAACCATGAACACTGTTTTGACCACCTTGTTAACCCACTGTTGGATACAATGAAATAGAGAAGGCACAAATACCATGATAACTATGATGACAGTCAGTACATACATGCCTATTTTCAAAAGTTCTCTCCACAATGGTGCAAGGCTCAACCAGCCAAACAGACCATCCAATCATGATCCTCCTTCTTCTCTGAGGTTGGTGATACCCTCTTCCAATTGTTGTATGCTTTTATGTATAGACACCGAATGATCAGAAAGATTCTTACATCCATGTGCGTGCACTAACAAAAGAAAATCAATTGCTGCTCTGTTTTGCAGAGTTGCATGTCTCACACTTTGAACATCTGTTAACAAATTACTCAATTTAAGAGAAATGGCATGAGATGTCTTACTTAGCCAACAACTTAGTTTATCTAATTGTTTCAAGGCTGCTCCTGCAGCTGCCTGAGGCAGGAAAAGAGCTGCTGTAAGCGTCCTTCCAAAACTCCAGACCCTAAAGTTGTCATTACAATCAGGTGTACATTGATCAACAAACCTCTTCTCCCTATGTTTATGTTCTTTTATCATTTCTCTGTCAGCAAAGTAAGTCTCCTAATGCTACATGGGCCACCTTTGACTTCTGATGGAATGGCAGGCCAAACTCTATCACCATAAATGAGAATGATTCTTTGCGGCAATTTTAAAGGGAAATGATTGGGTGCTGTGTGCGAGGCTGAGGTGAAATTGCACCAAGATGTTGCATTTTTGTACAAGGTGTGATTTGGAGTGACATCTGTGATTTTTGTCTTTATTTTGTTTTGACCCATGAAAGCCAAATACTATGCAAAAATTCATTTTCACTGAGCCAAAGATTTCCAGTTCTTGAGGTTCATAGGGTGCCTTAAGGAGAAATTTGGTCCAGACATTCCATCCCTCTGTGGGATTCATAATGAATCATGAAAGATCTGGAGAGACATCTTTTGGTATTGGCCAACTGTCTACCAGTAAACTGATCAAGCAGGTTGAGAATGGCTTTTCTGGACTTGAATAAGTCTAACAAATGGTATCCAGGCCTGATGCATTGGTCAAGGTCACCCAAAAATTGATTTTTGGTTGACACAAGGGTAGGATCGTGTTACTTCAGGCAAAGAACGAAACAATAAGGCACAAGTATGATATCTGATTTAGCTTCATGTTTCTCTTTGGTTTCTTTTCTGATTCAAGGCACCTTTTTTGTTTTCAGTTTTTGCACACTCCTTTTTTGCCTTTTCCCAGTTCTGTTCTGGGACAAGCCAAATGTAAGGCACTAAGTTACTTCTTTTACATTCAGCTCTGCAAATTTGGACCTCTTTTGATTCTCCCCACAGTTCTCTCCAAAGACTGTGGAGACGAGATCTATTTTCTTCCTTGTGACATGATAAAATTAAAATTTCAATGGCCTTACACCTCATATGAAATTTTGAATTGTAACATGATCCACATCACGCTCTTGCCAACGAGGCTTTATGATACCAACGATTCCCACACTTTTTGCATTGGCATAAAACCCAAGGTTCGCAGCTTCTGGGACAAAAGATGTTTGTTTAAGGGATAAAAGATGTTTGTCATCAGATGCAGTCTTAATGCAGTTCACGTCTGTGTGCTTGCTTCTGTGCTTCTGGGGGTGTCTGCATGTTTCTGTGGTTAATAAGGCTTCATGTTTTGTGAAGGGACCCACTTAGGACCTGAACCTGTGGAGGCACAAGCATAACATTTACCCCAGGTTATTAGTGAAAATGGGCCTTCTGTCAATTTTCCTGTCTCTGTATTTCTGATCAAAACTAAAGGAATTTCCTTTAATTTCTCCTGTGTGGTGTTGGAAGAATGTCTGATGATTGGTGTTCTGCAAAAGAGCTGTTTAAAAAATTTAAAACGTGTAGTGCTTTGTTTAGACACATTTGAGGCGTGGCCTCTGCTTCCTCCCTTATTTGTTTATCCAAAAGGGACCTTAAAGTGTGGTGTGTCTTCTCAATGATTGCTTGACCTGTGGGAAAGTGTGGGATGCCAAAGGTGTGATGCACACCCCAATTCATTAAGAATGTGTCCATAGCATAAGCTGGACCATTGTCTGTCTGTTTCCTGAGGCACACCTAGTGATGCGAATGCTTGCAGAAAATGCTGACATGCAGATTTGCTGTTTCTCCTGAGTGCAAGGAGGCAAAGACTGCACCTGAAAAGATACATGGACATTTTAGAGTTTCCCAAAGGACAGGTATTTTGTGATATCTGTTTGCCATAATTGCAGACTCTGCAATCATCTCAGATTGATTGGTCCTGTGGATACAGGAGGTTGCATGAACTGACAATCAGAACAAGGACTTCTGATTGCCCTCACTTGTTCTTTAGCAATCGGAAATGCTCGCATAAGTGCTTGTGCATTTTGATGAAAAAATGTGTGACTCAGTTTTGCCTGCTCAAAAATGTTTGGCAAGGAGTCTGCAAATCGTTAATTTGTCTGCTTCTGTATTTCCTTCTGCCAAGAATCCTAGAAGTGAAGAGTGTGCTCCGATGTGACAGATAAAGTATTTGTTTTTTTCTGTGTTCTATGGCCTTTTGCATGCATGCAAGAGAACAGTACAAATCATTATCAACATTCTTTAGGAGTGATACTTCTATTCTTTTGACTACGTTGGCTACATAAGCTGAATCTGTAATCAGATTAAGGGGTTCCTGAAATAATTGAAATGCTCTGACCGTTTCTGCCAATTCCACAATTTGAGGAGATCCTTCCACTATCTGAATATCTGATTCCCATGTTTTTGTTGTTGGATTCTGCCATGTTATTACTGATTTATGTGTTTTCCCTGAACTGTCAGTGAATAATGTTATTGTATCCAATGGCACTTCACTCATCATGGGTTCTTCCTTGAAACTTAATTTTCCCAGCAA